CCTGGCACTAGGTACATGATGTACCTGGTGCCCTGGTCTCATGTCAATGTGCTCCAGACCTCACCTAATTGTACTCACCTAATTGTGCTTGCGGGGGTTGAGCTCTGGCTCTTAGGTCCCGTCTCTCAACCGTCAATCAACAGGTGTACAGGTTCCCGAGCCTATTGGGCTCTATCATATTTACACTTTTCATATCATATTTACTATGGGGGCTTGACGGCTGAGTAGACAGCGCTCGGGATTCGTAGCCCTAAGGCTGCGGGTTCGATCCCCGGTGGAGGCGGAAACAAATGGGCAGAATTTCTTTCATCCTCATGCCCCAGTTCACCTAGCAGTAAACAGGTACCTGGGTGTTAAGACAGCTGCTACGGGCTGTTTCCTGGGGTGTGTGTAACAAAAAGGAGGTCTGGTCGAGGACCGGGCCGCAGGGACGCTAAGCCCCGAAATCATCTCTGTTATATGACAAAGAGTGCTGGGAAGACGGGACACCACGAGCGTAGCTCTCATCCTGTAACTACACTTAGGTAATTACACTTAGGTAATTACTTGAAACTGTGTATGGAGTCAGCCTCCACCGCATCACTTCCTAATGCATTCCATTTGTCAACCACTCTGACACTAAAAAAGTTCTATCTAATATCTCTGTGGCTCATTTGGGCTTTCAGTTTCCACCTGTGTCCCCTAGTGCGTATCCGCTAGACCTGAGCATATCCTGGTGCCAGGAACATCATGGAGGGAGGCCTGACAGCTGAGTGGACAGCGCTTAGGATTTGTAATTTCTGAGGTTCTGGGTCCGACTCCCAGTGTAGGCGGAAACAAATGGGCAGAGTTTCTTTCACCCTGATGCGTATGTTCACCTAGCAGTAAATAGGTACCTGATAGTTAGATAGCTGCTACAGGCTGCTTCCTGGGGATGTGTAACTAAAAGGAGGCTTGGTCGAGGACCAGGCTGCGGGGACGCTAAGCCGCGAAATCATCTCAAGATAACCGAGGTACATCACAGAGGTTGTTTACTTCTCGTGTCAATGTGTTCAAAACTTGAGCACATCCTGGTTCCAGGAACATCACAGACGTTGGCTACTTCTCATGTCATTGTGCTCCAGACCTGAGCAGTTCCTGGTGCCAGGTACATCCCGAAGGTTGGCTACTTCTCGTGTCAAGTGCTCCAGACCTGAGCATATCCTGGCTCAAGGTACAACACAGAGGTTGGTTACTTCTCATGTCATTGTGCTCCAGACCTGAGCACATCCTGGTTCCAGGTACATCATGGAGGTTGGTTATTTCTTGTGTGCCAGTGTGTTCCAGATCTGAGCACATCTTGGTGCCAGGCACATTACGGAGATTGGTTACTTCTCGTGTCAATGTGCTTCAGACCTGAGGACATACTGGTTCCAGGTACATCACGGAGGTTGGCTACTTCTCATGGCAATGTGCTCCTGATCTGAGCACATTCTGGTGCCAGGTACATTACGGAGAGTGGTTACTTCTCGTGTCAATGTGCTTCAGACCTGAGGACATACTGGTTCCAGGTACATCATGGAGGTTGGCTACTTCTCATGGCAGTGTGCTCTAGATCTGAGCACATTCTGGTGCCAGGTACATTACTGAGATTGGTTACTTCTCATGTCAATGTGCTCCCACTTTTGCCGCTAAACACAATGTGCATATCTTTATTAGTAAATCTGCAGATACTTATGAGCATTTGGCAATTTTGCTGGATTATTACTTGTTGCATGAAGACTTTGTTCTGGAGAGTGTTAATAACAGACGAAGAAAACTGTTATAGTTTTATTTGAATGCCTAGTATATTGTTCATATACGTAAGGACAGAGCAGTCCATTGCCTTTGTAAATATTCATGAAATATCAGTTTTCCATAGGTCCCAAATGACCTATAATTTAATATATCAGACTTGCTGACCAACCTCATGAACAAACATTTGAAAATGGCATGCAATGTTAAAATATTTAAGTTTTAATAGTTATGGATGACAAGAAAGGTGATTTACTGCCCTTTTATGGCTAATCATTGAGATAAAGTCTGGCATGGTGAAGAATGTCTCAATAAGTGTGAGAAGCCACATTCGTCCAGAATTAGGCACTATGCAGAATATCACGTTGCTCAAACAATGTCTATATTTGTCATGACAAGCAGAATGGCGGGAAATTGGAACCAAGTATGTGAGTTCTGCAGTAGCTGTCTTCCTTCAGCTAAATCGAAGGCGCGGAAGGGGAGGAGCTGCCCCTCTTGTGACCTCCAGCTGCAGAGGTATGGATGAAACAGCATCCCATCCTCTCAAATTTGGCAATTGTGATTTGCCACCACAAAGATTAACTAATTTGAATAATACTAATTTGAATTAAGATTAGTTTATGTTAAACATTTGTGTGAACCCCTTCATGATTCATCATTTTTAGCTAACCTATGCTGATTGGCACACTGGGACGTTGAAGCTATTATGATGGAGGCAGTATGTATTATTTAGGGTTCCATCACATGTTGCTGGGCCTTGGATCTAGTAGTTCTCAGCTTCATACATTAAAGTTCCCGATGGTCTTATTCCCTTTGATATGCGACAGGGTTCCCTACCTATTTTTATCAACTTTACTTTTATTTAAATATCACTCAAGCGTTGGTCTCCATCTCACAAAACTCTGATCTTCTAGTAGTCTCGTCACTCTACTGGCCTATAGGTGTCGTGATCCAGCCACTTTTCTCACAATCCACTCTATAACTCCTGCTCTGTTACTCTGCCTTCAGTACTTTTTCCTGTCCTCTCATCACTGATTGTTGTGACTGGTTTTTGTCGTGTCTTTTATTTATATACTGATCAGGACCCTCATTGATGTTTGTAACAGGTTTTGATGATGTCTTGTGTGTGTTGTAAGTACAGGTACTGTCGTTTATTGTTTTTTGTGTGCAAAGAACACATTTGTATTTTGCACTAGTTGAAATAGTAATCCATTTAATTTTGTCACGTATTCATTTATGTGTTAATAAGAGAGCCAGAGAATGTGAGGTAATAGTCAATCCTCTTTTGAGTTCTTGATGTCTTTGAACTGACAAGTATTTGTCCCAGCAAAATTTGCTATGAGCTTACAAGTCATTGTGGGCCACTTGCAAAGTTTCATTAGTGGTCTTTTGTCAGTATATTTGTTTCAGCAGTAAATTAGGAATTATGAAATGTGAATGGGTTATAATATGTATTCTTATGTTGAATTTCTATGGTATTAGGAATAGGAGTAGAGCACCTGTGTTCTAAGCCAGTCTAAAAATATATCTACAGTTGAATATTGAATTTCCTTCAGTTTTGTATCTCTCAGAGAGCAAGTGAGAGAATGTGTGTGCCTGACATATGCTTAATGGAAACTTTGAAGTGTGATGTGTATCAGCTAATCATAGTGCAGTGCTCAAGTGTGTAGCACCACCGTGTTAGTATCCCACCGCTGGTGGAACACTGTTATGTGTGATTGCTGTGTTCTCTTGTGTTGATGATCTGGACGAGGTATATGATAGGCCTATTGTAGTTTTGAAGTGTTTATTGAGTATTCCTTACATCTTGGGAACACAGTGCCTTGTTGAGGCTCACCCATAGGCCTACATGTTGGCTTACTTGCTGCCTGGTTGTATAGGATATACTAATGCTGTAGTGCTACACATTAAGGTGCTGCACTTTGATTGGCTGATACGAGGCACAAGACAAAAAAGACCATTAAACGTATGGCAGACCTATGTGTAAATATCCTAATTGTAGTTTCAGGAAGAGAACTATGCTCGTGGTGTCCTGTCTCCTTTATAAATTACAAAAAATAAAAAACTATCTGAAGTTTTAGCACATTCAACTTTCAAATTAAATATTTTCTGATAATCTTTTTACATTGGTGTTTCTTAATGATGTAATTATGTCCTCTTATTGTCTTGGGCAGGCAGTAAGAAGTCTACTTTATCAACATACTCCAACAATGTCATGATTTTAAATATGGTGATCATGACCTCTTGTTCTGGAATACATTTTAATGCACGCCTTTATGTGTGTATCTGTGTGTGTAATTGCAGTACCTAAGTGTAGTTACAGGATAAGAGCTATGCTCGTGATGTCCCATTTCCCTAGTAAACTTTGTCACATGACACTTTGAAACTATGATCGTTTTGTCCACCACCACCTTCTCACTTAACTTGTTCTAATCATCTATAACTCAGTTTGCAATAGTGAACTTTCTAATTTTTTTGGGGCAGCTGTGCTTCCTTAGTTTGAATCTATGACCTCTTGTTTTTGAAGTTGCAGTTTTCAAAAATTCTTCTTTGTTTTGTGTGAGTGAGTGAGTGACATTAGTCATGAAGCAATTCCTGCAACATTGAAATAAAGACATACATTAGTGCCATGCAAGTTGACACCATGAGGCCAGGGATGTTTGCCTGTATATAGGAAGATATAGTTGCTCCTGCTCCTTAAAGATGTTAAGGTTGCTGAACCCCACCTTCAGTAAATATCACAGTTGCCATGCCTCAATTGCATCAATAGTGTTTCCACCTCATTATTTCACATTTTATTTGTTCCCTTTATTCTTACTGTATATTTATCTTAATATTGATCTTATTGATTATAACATTATCTTATTGACCCAAATTCTTGTGAAGATGTTGGATGAAACAGGACACCCGGCATTTCTCTAGTAGAATTTTTGTTGTATGCTGAGTAGAATGACCATCAGTGTATTATTTGGTTAACAGTGAGTTGTAATGTTTTATTGAATGGAATAATTAAGATGATGAACCTGTTTCTCACACTCCTTCATTTTCAAACAGAATGATTAATATCTTCTTGAAGTAGCCAGTTATGTTTACTTCATTGGAGCTCATTTGGCAATTTCATTGTCATTCTACCTGTTCACTCATGCTATCTTTCCTTTAAGCCAGAGTGAGAGGCACTGCCCACCATTGTATCTGACCTTTATTCAGGGTAGAAGTAAGAGCCATATAGTTCCAGCAGATGAGTCTATCTGTCTACCCTTGAGCCATGTAATAACATGTATCCCCTACCATAGTTGCCATGCTTTGTTGCCATACTGTCTATCTCTTCATTTGTTGTTCTCTTCCCCTCCCCAGTAGCTCAGCGTTGACAGAGGAAACATGGGGAAAAAGTAAGTCACTCTTAAGTGTCATTTCTGTGTCACTCCTGTCACACTAACCGACCAACTCTCACAGGGTGTATGTGGAAACTCCAGACGTATGCATGTCAGCTTTCCCCCACAATCTCTGTAGTCCTATCATACATGCTGCTGTACTTCAATGTGTCCACCATTATACACTGCTACCAGTACATTTAACATACAAACAATTTGTATCATTGTTTTTTTATTTTTATACCTTTTACTCATGATGAAGACCGGTAATGGATAGTCACAAAGGAATTAGAAACTGAAGTTTACCTGAGTGTTTTCATGAATATTGAAACAACATCAAAAGCAATTGCAAAAGAAATAATGGAGTAGATTACAGTATATATCAAGTATCAAGTATGAAGCGGACAGAACACTGGACTCGTGGTCCTGTGGTCCCGGGTTCGATCCCGGGCGTCTGCGAGAAACAATGGGCAGAGTTTCTTTCACCCTGATGACCCTGTTACCTAGCAGTAAATAGGTACCTGGAAGTTAGTCAGCTGTCAGGGCTGCTTTCTGGGGGTGGAGGCCTGGTCGAGGACTGGGCCGTGGGGACACTAAGCCCCGAAATCATCTCAAGATATCCTCAAAAAGATGGTCACTTGTTGAAATATATCAACTCGACTTCTTTTACTTAGATGTTTATTCGATAGTTAAATTTAAGAAGCATTCAACGAGTACAGTCATCCATTAGGGAATATCCATTTTATCTGCTTTCATGTCAGGGAATATCTATATTGCCTGCTCCTATATCAAGGATTATTTAACCATATTAACTGCTCTTATATCAGGGAATAGAAGAGTTTAAACTGATAAATTTTATGAAATTTTTATAAAGCTGCAGAATTAAATTGCAGTACAGATATTACTGTATCTCATAGATCTATATCTTGTAGAGATATCTCAAGATATCACAAGATTACAATTCAGGTAGTTTCTCGCACATATGTGTACTGTATTTTTATTGAGAAATTCTAAATTTTAAAATGTTCAGAGTTTGTCCCATACATTATAGGCAACTGAAGCCTGCACCACTTTTCATGGGACTTTGCAAGTAACAATTACCATTCAGAGGGTTATTCCTTACTAACGATTTTGAAATAGTGTACTCATCACTAAATATTGCATTATATTTAACAATTTCAAGGTATTAACTGTTTTAAAATGTTGAAAAATATGGTAAACATAACAAATTTTTGGGTGAGTTTTCTCACTGTATGTAACCTTTTCTTTATGTATGTAATAAATATGGTTACATACATATTGTAATAGGCTAAGTGTGTTTAGCTTTTCAGCAGCCATTCTCAAAACTAATGGTTAGCAAAACTTGAAGCAAGAAATAATAAGCAAGAAAAGAAATTTCCAACTCCTCATCGAGAAATAGAGAAAATAATTGTTAGTATAATAATGTCTCACTCTTTATGGAAATTTCTCGAGCAATCATTCAGCGGGAATCTTTATTAATCGTCTTCATTCATCATATCTATAACCTTTAAGAAATGCTTGTTAAATTAAATGCAAAGTTAGCAAGTCAAAACAGTATGGAACTCCTTTAATAAGAGACAAGGGAAAGTGTTAATTTTGTATTGCACTTGCTCTGAGATAATGATGACCATCTCATTAATTCCAAGGTATCTATGTTCTTACCTGTGTGCAGCCATCATGATTACATACAGCCTGTGTACATCCACCAGTTATACGTACACCCTGTGTACATCCACCAGTTATACTTACACTTGTGTACATACATCAGGTTTGCATACATCCTGTGTACACACATCAGGTTTACTTACATTCAGTTTAGACCCATACCTTGTGTATACACATCAGGTTTACATATATGTAGTGTAAACCCTTTACCTTGGAAAATTATACAAATAACCTTTTATGATATGGCATTACAACAGATTAAATATACTGTATAAACAATGTACGCAGCAGTATAAATGGTGGATACATTACCTGTAGTATAGCATACTAATAGTGGTATCATTGTAGTTTCTCGATATCTAGCCATGAGAATGGGCAGAAGGTGAAAAACAATTTGGAACCGATTATTGCAAACATCTCATTTGTAAGATATTACCATTGTAACATTAGCTGATAAGTCGATCATTGTACATGAACTCTGGGAAAGGTTCCATGAAGTAGAATGTAACATGACTGCACATTTTATTTAACTTAATGTTAACATACAGTATTTCAGAGATGAGTATAAACAGCTTTGGAGATGGTACTAATAATGGTGGTAGAATACACTTTTATCATATACAGTACAGTACTCAATTGTTTGTATACTTGGGCAGCAGGCATTTCTTTAAATATATTTGGTTAAATATGACCGCATTGCTGGCATTGTTGTTCTTATAGTGTAAGCTATCTATGTTTCTAACCTCAGTATTTTCTTACTCTCAGGATTATAAAGAGTAATCAAGTTACCAAAATTCATGGTAATGAAAATTCTAGGTATTTCTGAAGAATTTATTTTCTACATCATTTTGTTCCACTGTGGAACATCTTAAGGTAAAGAGTGAATACACAAGGTGCAAGTTTGGGTTAAATATGCAAGTGGGGGAGGTGAAGTTGTGTCGGGTGAGGTGAAAGGCTGAAGGAATATAGGGCAATCAAACATAGAGTAAGGAATAGTGGGATAAGGGGAAAGGGGCCAATCAAACTTTGGGTAAGGCGGTAGGTGGAGTGAGTTCAGTAGAAATGTTGTCTGGTGCTGTTTAGTGAGATCTGTATTTGTGTGCAGGCAAAGTAGCGGTTGTTATTCTGTATATTTAGGGTGGGCTTTTTTTTTCTCATGAGTATAACTTCCAAGATTTGCAATCTTTTTTGGGGCAGTGGTGGAAGCTAGGGTTGTTGTATTATCTACTAGCATATTCCTAGTGAGTGTTGTGTTATGCACACTTTGCATATGGTTTCTAGGGGCACTAGCTTGAAGGTGGCAGATCAGTCTCCTCGAAAGCTTAGTGGTGGCCATACCAATATAAGTAGATCGAAGGTGACATCCTTCATTGGGGCATGTACAGTAAATTGGTATACAGTGCCATGTTTGCTTTTTGCTGAAGGTTCTATTGTTTATTGGGGCTATTTTTAAGTATTACATCAGCAGTTCTTTTTGTTTTTGTAGTAAATAATGAATTCCAATCTTTGGTCGGAGGCTGTCGGTTCCATTCAATATCAAGTCAAACCGACAGCGCCAGACCAAAACACCGCTACTCGTAAGAGAAAAAAGACCCACCCTAAAAAAACAGAATAATGACTTTACTACTTTGCCTACACACAGATCCAGATCCCAGCAAACAGCACTGAACAATGTCATCTCTACTGAGTTCTTCCCACCCACCACCTTGCCCAATATTTGATTGACTCTTTATTTGATTGCCCCTATATTCCATTGACCCTTCACCTCACCTGACACAACTTCACCTCTCCCACATGCATATTGAACTCAAAATTGCACCTTGTGTATTCATTCTTTACATGAAGATGTTCCAGAGTGGAACGAAATGCTGTAGAAAATAAATCCTTCAATAATTACTAGAGTTTTCTTTACCATGAATTTGGTAACTTGATTGCTCTTCTTAATCCAGACACTAAGAAAATAGCTAGAAGCATAGGAAGCTTGCATTATAAGATCAACAATGCCAGCAATGCAGTCATATATAACCAAAAGTACTGTATTGTGTATATATCAATCAATGCTGTATATGGTCAATAGTAGTGTTTAATTTTGGTAAAAGAATGGGTCAGGAAGTAGTAGTGCATGATTATTAATGTAAAGTGATCTTTGAATCAAATAGCTTAGCATAGTGACTGTTTAATAACCACCTTTTTTTTTAGAATGTACATAGGAAATGCAATAATGTTATCAATGTAAACTAAAATGTTTCACCACTGCTCATGCTAATGGCTATACCTCTCTCCCGAATTCTTTCAATGATGGATGGGTTCAGCAATAAGAAGATGGACAGCAGTGGAAATGTTGCTTCCCCAGAGGAAGAGCCTCCCAGGGATCCTGGTGTGGCACAGCACCACTCATTCAACATGGATGACTTAGAGGGTCATCGTGCCCACTCTATCTATGTTGGAGTCCATGTTCCAGGAAATTACCGCCGGCGTTCCCGACACCACCGTCACCGTCACCATCACCACCACAAGAACTCTGCTAAGGATGGTGGCGAGAATCGTCCAGGTGAGTTGGTTCAAGCTGTTCCTGTCAGTTATCACTGCACTTGTTTGCAAGACAGTCTAATCGTTTGGCGTGAAGCAATCATTTTACTGTATTCCTGTTGTGATGGTATGTGGTGTGACAGAAACATTTAAGAAAACACATCACTCATTCACCATTTTATCTTGTGTGTATAGGATGATTTTCATGGGTCTATTGCTAACACAGAGGCAGCTTAATGCAGTTATAACACTATGTAATGCCAACTTAAACTTACTAGTTTTGAAGTCCTCAGTTTCCATGGTTAATCCATTCTCTCAGCTACAGACTAACTGTTCGTCACCAACAGTCAGCACCAGGCTACAACGCTACATAAATCTTGGTAAACAGCATCATTTAAAATCCTCATGCTTAGAAAGTTACAGTGTTTTCATGTCACTTCTTTTTCCATCATTGCTTTTGATTTTATTCACAAACTACATGATCTGCTTCCCTTGTATTTTTTTTGTCAGAAACAATGCTTGCACCAACACCAGACACTTTCCTCCTTATCTATGATTATTTATATTTGTTTTAACTTGGCATTATTGTCTATGGTAAAGAAATTCTTTGTACTCTTGTGTGATTTCATACATGTCTTCAACTCACAAATAATATACATGTATTAGAAGAAAAGCTAATGAAAGTACTTGAGTAATGAGATCAGACCACACCCGTACGCTAGGAAAACAGTCAGTATGCTTGCCCTTATAGTAGTCCAGGATACCTCAGAAAAACTGACATACATAGAATTGTTTGTACAGTTGATAGTAAAGTACAGTACAAACTTTGTAAAATCTTTCTGAAGTATAAATACATAATTTTTAATAATATTTACCAATAAAATGTAGGATCAGCAAAAATACAAAAGAGTGCAATTTAGTAATTTAATGGAAATTACTGTATGCAATGAACTGATGATCCAGATCCCATTGCGTTCCTCCTGAATAGTCATTCTGGCTCAGCACTGTCTTCTCATAATTGACATATCCCTCTGAAATCTGTTTTTATTTATTTTAGAAATGTAGTTTTCAGAGGGGACTGTAGTGGGCGAATTTCATCCGTTGTTTGGAAGGATCCATTATAAGATGGTCTGGATTTGGGAGGGTGTACTGTATACATTGATGCATTGCTGTCTTGGCATTAAACCTGCACTAGCTGTCAACTTATTAATATTGATATTGTCAAATGCATTTGTGAAAGGGATTAGGGATTAATGATTAATGCAGACTGAAAACCAAGATGACAGCACATCAAATTATGAAACAAGGTTAATACAATCCTTGGCTTCGTTTCTAGAAGTGTTAGGAACAAGACTATGAATGCCATCCTACATCTTTGCTTAGCACAATTAAGAACACACCTAGATTACAGTAGCTGTGCAGTTCTGGTCACTGTAATAAGGGATGGACATCAACTCCATTAAAAATGTTAAGCATAAAATGACCAAAGTTAATCCATAGAATTAGAATACAAATTCAACAATTCAATAGATTCAGATACAAAAGAGGTACTGTACTGTAAAGCAGGTAACTAGATCAGAAAGAGTTGTAGATAAGTGAAACAGGCTACCAAGGAATGTCACTGAAGCACACACCTTGGTAAGATTTAAAATGTATACATTTTATATACTGTATTAACATACAAGCAGAGAAGTGAATCACCACTTGGTGCGTGTGCACACAAATTTGAAGCATTGCCATGAGTAGCAGAGTTACCGGGCCACTTTTAGTGTCTTAGGAAATTGAAGTACAGTATTGTTTTGCATTCTTCCATATATCAAACTCAAATTCCGCATGTTCTTTTTCTGCTAAATTATACAAAAGTATAACAAATGAAGAGACACATTTTTTCTGTTAATAAAATAAATTATACATTTCATTTATGCAGTGCAAAAAATTTCACATATACAGAAGTTAATGATGGGCATAAGTTAACAATTTAATTTCAATTTCTTTCCATCATAGAAAAGTAAATGCAGTATCATATTATGGAAAAGAAAACAACATTCAAGTGTCATTAATTTGTGTGGTGTTTACATTCCTATATAAGCTATAAATATAAAACTAATTAAAATGTATAGATACAATATATATGGCAAAAATTGTGTTAGGTTCCAGAAACTTCAAGAGTACACTTTTCTCACTACTCAATTAAATACTTATTTGGACATTAAAATTTAATGCCTCCTTCACTTTCCAGCCACAAAAACATCACATAATGCCAAAAATATTTAGTATGGTATGTGTACTATATGTCTGTGTATGTGTTTACACTTCAAGGAATATATTCCAAAATATTTGTAAAATAAAAATGTAGCGCGTGTGTGTGTGTGTGAGAGCTCAACACCTTGCTTGGAACGAGGCAGACCCAAGCATTATTCGAGGTAATCTGCATTCAATCTGTGTACTGTTGAAATTCACCTACACACTTTCAACCTTAGTATTAAAGCACTTATCTGCATTCCACACATCAAAGTCTGCCTGCATTGATTTTTGTTTTGGTATTTTTATTAAGAATTGGATTATGACTAGTTTTGAACTAACTACAAATGTCATTCTGTTTATTAACTTTGCTGCAATCCTTTTGTGAATTATAGTAAGGAATCTGATGCATGCAAGCAAGATACAACAATAATTTGAAGTCCTCAAATTTTGGCTTATGCTGTAAGCACAAAATCTTGGAAACTCACTCGAAGGGCACAATAGTTCTTACTGTTTTTCTGCGTAACTTTCCAGTTATTCATGTAACAGCTTCACTCTATCATTTGCTTTGAAGTGTTAATAATTTCTTCAGCTCACTACTGAAATTGAAATTGATGCATGTATATATACACCGATAGATTTTGTGTAAATCAATGCTTTGCTACACCTCTTTTTTTACTCCATTTTCATTTAGGGTCATTATTTCTAGAGTAGATTTAATGAATATTATTTCCAATACCTTATAAAATATTTGTAGTTGGATAAGAACCAATACAGTATTCTTCTCAGGGATTGGAACACTACTCTACCTGCTTTTCTTGTTTCTTTATTTGCTTCAATATTTCCTATACTGTATGACAACCTTACTGTGTTAGTGTCAGACTTACAGAAATGGAGCTCTAAACCTCAACATTTAAATTGAGCCCAGATCAACTCTGAAAGTTTCTTGACTGTTGCACATTAAATCTGGATAATTGTGTGTTTAGTCCTGGGAATTTACATGATTGCTGAATACGATAGGTGTACACGCAAGGTATAGAATACATAATAAGTGGCTAGTGAAATTTTATTGCTTTATGCTTCATACATATTTGTGCAATTGACTACCAAGGTCTGCCAAATGTTCTACTCCAACTTGTACTAATTATCAGTAAGATGTGTTAAGTGTTTCATCTCACACATTGTTGTAATTGCTACTTGCTGAATATATATGGATATTGTTCTCAGCAGTGGTGTTATCTTTTTGTTGTATTATGGATAATATTAAATTAGTTTTATTATTTTTATAATGCTGTATAATACATATTTGCTGCATATTTACTGTATTTATTTTTTATGGTTATAATTTGCTAATCCCACCCTTTACATTGTACAGTAGCTGGCAGCTAATTAAAGTTGAAAGAATAGAATAAAGTAGCAAAATTTTGATGATGTTGCTTGATGGCAACCCTCCACTTTCTGCAGCGATGCCCCCGCTTGATGAGGACTGCCCTGATGGCTTCTCTTGTACGCCACTACGTTGCAGGCCAGCCATAAGGGATGGCCACGGAAACATGATTCCCCATAAGAGCTGCTCAGTGCATTTCACAGTTACTCATGAGTTACGCACTGGATGAGGGAAGATTGAATGAACTGTTGAACTTGAAAATGCTTTAATAGATATCAAGTGCTCAACACTAATTTCTCTGATGCTGGACCAGGTTAAAAATAAGTTACAGAGGACTTCTAGGTCATAATTTAGGATTCATTATTTTGGACCACAAATCGTATTTTCTTAATTCACAGGTGTAGCAAAATATTTATTTTAAATTTAGTAAAACCTCTTAAATTTAATACTGTATTTTAAATTTAGAAAAACCTCTTTAATTATGATTTGCACATATTTCAGTATTTCAATGAGCTATTAAAGAATCTGATAAACCTGCAAAATACTGGGTTAACTATATCTTGAAAATGAACATTAAGCCTTTACACTGGATGTGGAGTACAGGTGATTGGTAGCTAGCATATTTACTAGCCAATGAGCAGGATAATAGGAGCTGATATTAACTTCATTTAAAAGTGTACCACTATCTGTTTCACTGATATCAATCTATTTCTATATATCAATATTGGTAAGATTTTGGCCACTATTTCAATACTGTTTTTTTTTCTGACACAGGTAGGTAAAGTTCTAACATCTGATAACAAATTATTAAATATCATTATTGTAGTCATCTTTTTAAATATTCAGTTAAGGTGACCCGAATCACGTTTACACGAGTATGTGTTCAGATTTAAATTTCTTTGATATTTAGTTATGAAAACGTAAGCATGGCTAGTTAAATGGAAGCTTTTTTCTTATTACGTATTTCATTCTGAATTTTTCCAAGTACTTCTGCAAAGCCATTATTTGGTATTATTGGCAAGACCAGGGGCCTGATTCACGAAGCAGTTACGCAAGTACTTACAAACTTGTACATCTTTCCTCAATCTTTGACGGCTTTGATAACATTTATTAAACAGTTTAAAAACATGAAACTTCCCAATCAACTGTTGTTATTGTTATAAACAGCCTCCTGGTGCTTCGGAGCTCATTAACTGTCTAATAATTGTAAACAAAGCCGCCAAAGATTGAGAAAAGATGTTTAGGTTCGTAAGTGCATGCTTAATCGGCTTCGTGAATCTGACCCCAGACAACATTCTAGTTTGATTATAGGAATTTTTGTTAAATGTTTTCTAATAAATTTAAAATTTTTAATAATTAAAATAATTTTTAAACTTTAACTAAAATTTCTAATATTTTTAAATGTTCTCTAATAATAATAACAAGTTATAAATTTATATTTTTTTAGTAAATACTGTAATATTAAAATTTTGTTTCAAAATAATCTCAGTAGAAATAGTAAAGCCTGCCAAAGTGTGCATTTTGTTGCAAATCTCGTCATAATGTAATGGCAACTTTAAAAATTCAGGCTGGAAAATAAACAAAAACTTGTGTTCTGAGATATAAAATTTACTGCTAAAATACAGTATCACAAATTTTCAGCAATATCTAATTTAATTTCAGTATATAACTGATTTTGAATAGAGTATTTTTATATGACTTGTATTTCATTAATCTGAATATGTTTTATGTTTTCATAGGAAAAAAATAATAGTTGGCAACTTGCCATTAATGGCAAATTTTTTTGGATAGTTGACAAAAATAATAAAACACGGTACTTCAGTTGACAGTTATTTCAAATAAAGTTCAAAATGTAGCAAATAATATAGGCTTTCGATGGCAATAAAAAGAAATATCGGTCAAAATACTGGTATCGGTACACTTCTAGTTTAAAGTCTGTATTTGCTAAGGTTTAATAATAAAAGCATCACCCTATTAATATACACATGCAAGCACATGTATAATATTACAAAAAAGTTTCTTAATTATACAGTATTATAATAAAATAGCTGAGGAGCCCATATAGAGATATCTTTGCACTGTAATACTGTAACTGTCTGCTCTGGCATGTAATAATAGTATGTGAAATAGTGTAGGTCTGTTGTGTTTCTTAATTGTCATGTGTGTATTTTTTTTGTATGTGTGTGCGTGTGCTTGTGCGCACGTGTGCATGTGCATGCCAGAACAAATAGCATTTTCTATGCTTCACAGATACTGTTTGCTTATAATATTAAAAAAATATAAGTTTATAGCATTGATCTTAATAATTAGGTGCAGTCAATGGCAAATACATAAAAAAGTATATAAATTAATTTACTATACATTGTATTTGTATAAAGCAATGCCTATGGTTCATAGTTCACTATGATTAAAAAAATACAAGCTGTAAAAAGAGGTTTTACTACGAGATGTGTCATCTTAAACGATAAGATTGTAATATGATACGAGGTCCGAGGAGAAATTAGTGTACTTTTGATAAATACAGCATGGGGGGAATCATGGTCTGGGTTGTCCCTGCTGTGTGAGCCTTACCCACAGTAGTGCATGAGCTCTTGCAATAATGCCCATAGTTTGTGAGCATAAGTGAAAAGATCTTGTTCCCTTAAATATTGTAATGAGAGTATTACTGTGTTCTATTATAACCTGAATTGATCTAACACATTTTAGTTGTTTCTCATGTCTAGGGAGCAGACATTCCACTGTGTTCACGCCTCATACTCTCTATTACTTTTTCTTTTTCTCAAGGGTCAGCTTAGGGGAGTTCTTGCTTTTGTCTCCATCAATAGGTCAAGAAAATGCAGTATAGAGATTTTATAAGCTAGTGATTTTTATAGGTTTATAAGGCTTTTATAAATAAGCTTTTGAGTATGCTCTACTGTAAATATTAAACTACTGTATAGATAAATATTCATTATATATTGTTTTTGCAATTAAGATTTTTACATGTTACAGTATTTTGGGGTTTGAACAGGTAAAGTGAGGCTAATTATTTTTTAGTATATTTCCAAATTTGTGTCCAGTAGAAAATGCTACTTAAGCAGTACTGCAAAAAAAAAAAAAATTAGTCAACTTCTTTAATTTGTTTAAATTAGATATCATGGCTTGTTTTACTTATCATTGCTTGTTTTACTTAACTCTTGTTAAAGTGTTGTGATGCGTTCTTTTACTTTTCAACTTGTCACTCTTGCAATTAAAGAGAAATTTTAATCCAAACTGTGTATTGTATTGCATACACAAAGTAACTAGACTCTACTGTTGCAAGATGAGCTGCAATAGACTAAAGTTTTCTTATATCATGCTGAACTTTTTATGCCAATTTTGATCATTATTTTCATAATTGCTAAATAGTTTACTATATTGAATTTTTTGAGATTTCATCAGTGTATATTTTTCCTACTAGCTGATTTTGTTTAGCTTAACATGAGACATACCCTTGCTACTGTATGTGAGACATGCCCTTGCTACTGTATGTGAGACATGCCCTTGCTACTGTATGTGAGACATGCCCTTGCTACTGTATGTGAGACATGCCCTTGCTACTGTATGTGAGACATGCCCTTGTTACTGTACGTGAGACATGCCCTTGTTACTGTACGTGAGACATGCCCTTGCTACTGTATGTGAGATATGCCCTTGCTATTGTATGTGAGACATGCCCTTGATACTATATGTGAGACATGCCCTTGCTACTGTATGTGAGACATGCCCTTGCTACTGTATGTGAGACATGCCCTTGCTACTGTATGTGAGACATGCCCTTGCTACTGTATGTGAGACATGCCCTTGCTACTGTATGTGAGACATGCCCTTGCTATTGTATGTGAGACATGCCCTTGCTACTACTGTATGTGAGACATGCCCTTGCTACTACTGTATGTGAGACATGCCCTTGCTACTACTGTACGTGAGACATGCCCTTGTTACAGTACGTGAGACATACCCTTGTTACTGTACGTGAGACATGCCTGTGTTACTGTACGTGAGACATACCCTTGTTACTGTACGTGAGACATGCCCTTGTTACTGTACGTGAGACATGCCCTTGTTACTATACGTGAGACATGCCCTTGTTACTGTACGTGAGACATGCCCTTGTTACTGTACGTGAGACATGCCCTTGTTACTGTACGTGAGACATGCCCTTGTTACTGTATGTGAGACATGCCCTTGTTACTGTACGTGAGACATGCCCTTGTTACTGTACGTGAGACATGCCTGTGTTACTGTACGTGAGACATGCCCTTGTTAGTGTATGTGAGACATGCCCTTGTTACTGTACGTGAGACATGCCTTTTCTGTGTTCTACAGTAACTCCTCCAAGCCAGCGTGTGCAGTTCATCCTCGGGGAGGATGAAGATGACGATGGCATGCATGACAGCCATCCTCTCTTCAGCGAGATGGAAACCCTCACAGAAATGGAAGGAGGAGAGCTGGAGTGGAAGGAGACAGCCAGGTATAATCACAAAGGGAGATAAAAGGAAAGAGCTTTGGGGAAAAATGGTAAAAGTAAAAGGGCAGTCAGCTTCTTGGGAAGTGATGTGCAATAAGTTGATAGGTGGTAAATTGGGTTTTGGATGATGCAAATAGTGGTGAGGCAAGTGTAGGATATTATGACTAGGATGTATTGCATTTAGCAGTGAGAGAAGTGCAGGAGATGTATCACAGATAGTCAGTGAAGGACAGGAGACATTCGTCAGTTACAAGTCATGCCTTAGCACTAACTGACAATAGAAAATAGAATACTGTAGAAGAAAAAATCCACAAGGATTGTTTGTGATGAGGGTTTGAACCTACGCGCTGGATGTTCCCAGCTGCGCCTTAGTCGACTGTGCCACGACACAGTAAAAGAATTGCAACCTAGAGTGCTAGTGCCATCTCTAAGATCCCGAAGCTTCTCCACAGCCTAATCGGGGTTTCACACAATTCCCCCATGCACCCGGGGAATTGTGTGAAACCCTGATTGGGCTTCGGAGAAGCTACAGAATCCTAGTGAGGGCAATAGAACTCATCGTTGCAATTCTTTTATCAAATCGGGGCACAGTTGACTAAAGCACAGCTGGGAACATCCTGTGCGTAGGTTCGAACCCTCATCACGGCCCTTGTGGATCTGTTCATTTGATATATCATGCTATTGTGATTTCTGTGTGTATAGAATAGAAGACAATAGAAAGAGAAAGGAATTCAGGTGTCCTCAAAGTGAGTTGGAATTAATTATCTCTATCTCCACTGACAATAATGAACAAAGCCAGTGACTATCCTTCAACTAATAGTGCACCAAATTAAGCCCCTGAGAAAAGGCAGAAACCAGGAAATCCCTCGGCCATCAAGAAATAATGTTGGGAATTTAAATTATCTTTACACTAACTCAGAAGCTTGGTAGAATATATTTAGCACATTTGGATCATATTTTCAGGCAAAGAATCTCAAAATACATTTAAAAAAATACTTTTATTACCTAGAGTGTAAAAACCCTCTAGAGTAATGGAGAACATTTTCACATTCAGACATCACAGTTTGTCAGTGGTGAGGGACAAAGGGGGAGGGGGGGAAGGGGGAAAGGAAGAAGTATGTGCAGAATGTATTAGCTAGTCAATGGTGAGGAAGAGGGTTGAAAGTCATAGACCTGCATTTATACAATTAGAATTGTAAACGCTCAAAGCTCTTGGAGTATTGGCAATAGTTTACACTCTTATATGTTCTAGTTTAAGTACTGTACTTAATTTTGTGTTAAATATTGAAGTCATTTATATTTTTATTTGCAGATGGGTTAAGTTCGAGGAAGATGTGGAAGAGGGTGGAGAACGTTGGTCTAAACCTCATGTGGCAACGCTCTCTCTTCATTCCCTTTTTGAACTTAGGTCTTTCATTCTTAATGGAACCGTCATTCTTGATATGGATGCTACATCTTTGGAACAAATTTCGGATCTTTTGTTAGATAACATGATAAATCAAGGGACATTGACTTTAGAAGCCAAAGATAAGGTAAATAGGAATTTTGAGTTTGTTTCAATATTTTTAGTAACAATTTATTGTTTCTTAATATGATATTTCCCTGGATTGATTACAAGACAGCCATACTGTAGTTGTGTTTTCTTTACATATTATTTAATATAAACAATTAGTTTGTTGGTTTCTAAAGTAATTATCTAAGTGTAGTTCCAGGATGAGAGCTATGCTCATGGTGTCTCGTCTTCCTAATACGAGATGTTTGGTGGTTTCTGAAGTACAAGATGTATAATTGTTTCTGACATACAAAATGTTTTATAGTTTCTGAAGTACAAGATGCTTCATGGTTTTTGAGTACAAGATATTTCATGGTTTCTAAAGTACAAGATTTTTCACGAGTCAGATATTTTTATTGAAACAGTGAATAGAAGGCACCTACAAAAGAGTATAAGAATCGTGTGACTTTTAACTCTGTGATGTGCTGCGTTTATTGTGAAATTCTGGCTGTGCACCGAAAATCAAGTGTTCGCAAAAAAAATTTCTTTGTAAAATGTTAAATTCCCTTCCCTGAACGTGTACATGAAAAAAAATCCACTTACTTTGACTGTGGGGATGTGGACAAAGTGGTGCATGATGTCATCACAGGCTGTTCGCCCGTGTGTGGAGCTCCCAGAGGCGGTCATGCAGGCCATTCAAGCCTCACGAATTGCCACAAATATATTAACATTTATTTTTTCTTTGTATTTTCAATGCTTTATAATTCGTTTTTCTGTGGGGAGCCCTTACGGCTCTCTGGAGCTACTGGGCTAATGTGGAATATTATTAGACCAGGGCATTAGCTATGAAGTTTGACCTACCAGGGACTACGAGCCAGAACCTGGCCCCTTCAGAGAGGTTTCAGGGAGCAATGGCCTTGGAAACCCCCGTGGTTGGGGGGTTTTCCTTATCTGCCATCGACCGGGGTTAGGCACCCAGAAAGGTGGGCATAACAAAACAAACTGCACGTGGTAAGAAACTAACAACAAAAACCGAACAGAGAGGCAGAACTTCCTTCAATACCAAGGGAGCAAGCAAACATCATACTCCACCACCACTTGTCCTGTAGTACCTGTAGGTGGTATGTAGCCAAGCTTGTGAAGTGTAAGGCAGTCTTGAAAAGATTATAGGAAAATATCAATTTGTAAGGTATTCTTGAAAAGTTCGCTTTGTAAGGTATTCTGGAAGAGATTCAGCTAAAATGATTGCTTTGTAAGGTAGGATTGAAAAAATCCAGGTATCCTTGGAAAGATCTAGGAAAAGCTCAATGACAAAAGTCTGTCCTGGTATCACCCATATCTTCATCTGTATATGGGAAAGTATAGATGACAAGGGTGGGCATGGGTGGCACTCAGCTACTACTGGACTCGCTCGCTGTATCGTCCTCATCAGTGCTGTATCACTTGCATCCGACTTGATGAAAGCATATGACAAAGACAATAAAGAGATTTCAGGATATTAAAGAGCTTCTTTGGAGATGGTGGGATGTTATAATGGGGTGTAAAAAAAAAAAAAGGTTAGAAGTGGAGTATTTTATAGAGTTAATGGTACAATGAAAGACTGGTATTTATGTATAAGTATGCATGTTGTGGTATATCCTCATGGTTATTCAATGTGTATATAGATGGGTCTTGAAGGTGATCTAGATAAGAAAACTGTATTAGAAAATGGTGTGAAAGTGGAGTATTATAGGAATAGATATACTTTAGTACAGTATATCAAATTTGATTCACAGTACAGTACTAGTACTGTATTTGGTATACACAAATAATATCATTCTTCTTACAATATTTGTTTAAGATACGGTGTATATGATATATAGATTATGGAGAAAATTTTCTTGATGCTTGTGATTGGAAATAGCTAAAAAAATTATTTGGACAAAAGCAAAGGAATGGTGAATGGATGTGGTACTGGGACTGAAGTGAAGCAGGTGGATGGATGTGTGGTACTGGGACTGAAGTGAAGCAGGTGGATGAATGTGGTGCTGGGACTGAAGTGAAGCAGGTGGATGGATGTGGTGCTGGGACTGAAGTGAAGCAGGTGGATGGATGTGGTACTGGGACTGAAGTGAAGCAGGTGGATGGATGTGGTACTGGGACTGAAGTGAAGCAGGTGGATGGATGTGGTGCTGGGACTGAAGTGAAGCAGGTGGATGGATGTGGTGCTGGGACTGAAGTGAAGCAGGTGGATGAATGTGGTGCTGGGACTGAAGTGAAGCAGGTGGATGGATGTGGTGCTGGGACTGAAGTGAAGCAGGTGGATGGATGTGGTGCTGGGACTGAAGTGAAGCAGGTGGATGAATGTGGTACTGGGACTGAAGTGAAGCAGGTGGATGAATGTGGTACTGGGACTGAAGTGAAGCAGGTGGATGGATGTGGTACTGGGACTGAAGTGAGGCAGGTGGATGAATGTGGTACTGGGACTGAAGTGAAGCAGGTGGATGAATGTGGTACTGGGACTGAAGTGAAGCAGGTGGATGAATGTGGTACTGGTACTGAAGTCAGGCAGGTAGATGGATGTTGGAATTATGATATTTTAAACAAAATCTCAGTTGATATAAAAGTAATGAGAATATTCTTTGCAGAATTGCGTACTGTTTTACCATTACCGACTTTTAGTGTATATAGATTTATATATATTTTTATGTGTGGTAAATATTAGGAATTATGTACAGTACAGTATTTGAAAGTTCAAAGTAGATCTGGATTTTTGAGGTTGCACATTGTTTTTTATTTTTCTAATCGTTCTTTGCATTGGCTTATTACATGTATTGAATTTTTACAGTTAAAAATTTAATTGTTAAAATTTTGCAATAAAGCTGAATGAAAATTCATACAAATTAAAAATATTGATGACTATGTAGTTCTGTGGCCTTGAAAGATTTTATTTTTTATTTTTTTCAGCTCTGTGTATGCACTAATGAATTTTAACCAACAGTTCCGCGATGCTCTCCTGCGCAAGCATAAACATCTCTATGAGAAGCAGAAGCACAATAAAGAGAATGGAAATATGTCTCGGCTACCTCTCATCCGCAGTTTAGCAGAAATTGGGAGAAATCATTCATCCTCAAAAAGTGAGTCTCGCTTCATTAATTTCAGAAACAGCTGCATTGATCATGAAAGAGTGGGTGTTGGACAAAATTTATTAATCATTAATTTGTACTAATAAATGTATATAGAAGCAATTAAAAAAGAATTAATATCTAAATCAGTTTCCTAAATTATTAGAATATTAATTCGTGTGCCATGGTGTATTTCTTTTCCAAAATATCCAGGAGCGGGTGGTAAGGCAGGACCAGGGTTACCTTGCACTAGTGCACTCAGTATTTGATGACACTGACAAAAAAGAAGTGGTCATATTAGATCGTGAATTCCTTGTATAGTTAACCATTTTCTTTCATAACTGTCTGTTGTAGCTTGCACACTCACGGAGCATGGATGCATTTCATGACAATTACATACTGTTAATTCAAGACATCATTAAGTGATGTGGTCTAAATTTTTGTTGATTTTTTTCTTATATATAATGTAAGTTGTGGTTATGTATACTGTATACCATACACTTTAACTTTATTATTTATCATTTGGAAAATATGTTAATTTTTATACAGTAGAATCTTCAAATAATTTGCCATGGTGTACTGTGCAATTGTAATTATCTGGGAACATAAACATGTTAGTATATCTCTCCACCTATTAATGTAGTTACATTTTTCTTAAGAAGTTATGAGAGGTTTGGTTTGTTATTTTATTCATTTATTTATTCTCAACTGATTTAATTTGTTTTGTGTGAATGGGTTTTGTTTTGTAATAAAATATTGTTATATCAATAAAAACTCCCACGTTAGCAGTAGGTGATAACACTTAGAGACCCTCCGCTGCACCAGTCTGGCATTGTTTTAAGGTTTTGCTGTGTAAACATCATTTTTAATACAATTATAATTTTTACAATGTTTCTTTTAACAAGACTTTTTTTTATCTGGTTACAATTTTCAAGCACTGAATCTTGCTTGCGGATTGCCTTACAGGTTTGCGTTACAACTATTCTTTGACAGCTTTCATTTAAGCGACACGGATCAACCTGTTCCTTGAGGGGGAAAGATTTCTATAGTTGACCTGAGTTGTAACTGGATATTAGTGGCTGCCTCATAGCTTATGCATGTGTACATCCCTGGCATGTGAGCAGGCAGCATGCTTTATGAGTTTATTGGTTTCTGTTAGATAATCATATCTTGTTTTTACATTTGCTTGTTTTGGAAGGTTGATTTCTGGTAATGAAACAGTTTTTTGTGTAAGCAAAAATTGCATTATGATCTAATCAAATCTTTATTAATTTTTTTTTTTTTTTTTTTTTTTTTTGCGATGAGGTGTCTAATAATTTTAAAATATGTCATGACATCATAGAAATTTGCAGGAAAGAAATGTAAGGTTACATCATATTCATTTGGAAGATGAGAGGTTTTCATTCTGTTGCTTCAGCTGCTGGTGAAATTCAATTAATAAAGATGCCATTATATAGTAATCTTAACTTCACCTTAGGTACACATATTACGAAGACTTACTGCTGTCAACTTATAAGCATAGCTTGTTTTCTCTCATTAGATGAATTACCTAGACACATTATTTCTTTGTGACCTATAAATTCTGTCTATGTGACATCTATCTGTCCATCTATTTATCAATCCATCTGTCTATTTATCTATCCATCTATTTATCCATCCATCCATCTATCTTATTTATCCATTGATCAGTCTATCCATCCCTCTATCATCAATCAATCCATCCATGTATCTATCCATTCATTCATTCATCTATCCATCCATCCACATACTCTTCTTTGTATCTATATGTCTGTCTATCTGTCAATCCCTCTATTCATCTATGTATCCATCTACCTACTCATATTTCGATCCATTTATGCATCCAATCATCTATCCATCCACTTACTCTTCTGCCTATTCATCAATCTAGTCATTTATCTACCCATGTATCCATCAATCCATCTATCCATGCCTATCCATTAATCCATCCATCTATATTCATCCATCATCTACCCATTTATCTCTGGCTTTGTCTATCTGTCTCTGTCTTTGTATGTCATGGTCTTTGTCTGTCTATCTCTGTCCCTGTCTGTCTGTCTGTCTGTCTGTCTGTCTCTCTCTCTCTCTCTCTCTCTCTCTCTCTCTTATAAAAAAATATAATTATTTAATGTATGGGTGGCCACCAGTGAAAGGTGTGAAAATACTAAAAAAAAAAAATAGAAAAGTTACCCCTCACTCTGATAAAGAGCCATGGCTTGAGAAACCTTTGAAGCTGTGGAAGAATTGTCTGTTTTATGCAAGTACGGTCAAACTATTGACAGCAGGAAATTTCTGTTAATTTTCCTGAGATCAGTGAGTAATGGTGCATATTACAATAAGACAAAAATTTTTGTTGAAAAGTTTATTTTGAAAATATTTAGCTGTGTAGCTGGCAGGCAGTGCCAAAAATCGTTGTGGGGGGTCTAAATGTGACCTTGGCATGCCGTTCTCTTTTCAATTCTGGCAATCCAGGCCTATGCTAGTTAGGGTGAGGCTAGCCTCAACTGCACGGCCTCCAACTTCAAACAGACAGACAGACAGACACTCTCTCTTATATACATATTCATACATACACACAACTAGAGGATAGAAGAAAGAGGCAATATGATCGCTACGTACAAAATAGTAATCGACCAAATTGACAAGGAGGAATTTATTAAACCAGCAACATCATGAACAAGAAGACAAGGATTCAAGCTAAGGAAACAGAGATGCCGAAAAAAACACTAGAAAGTTTTCCTTTGCAAACCGAGTGTAGACGGTTGGAACAAGCTAAGGTGGTGGAGGCTAAAACCGTCAGTAGTTTCAAAATGTTATACGACAAAGAGTACTGGGAAGACAGGACACCACAAGCGTAGCGTTCATCCTGTAACTACACTTAGGTAATTACACACACACACACACACACACACACACACACACACACACACACACACACACACACACACACACACACACACACACACACACACACACACATTTGTGTGTGTGTATGGCTGACTCCATACACAGTTTCAAATGTAGAAATGATAGAGCCCAGTAGGCTCGGGAATCTGTACACCAGTTGATTGACAGTTGAGAGGCGGGACCAAAGAGACAAAGCTCAACCCCCGCAAGCACAAATAGATGAGTACAAATAGGTGAGTACACACACACTATTATAGTTCCATTGAGTAGGGGAAATTGGATTACAGTGTGGATAGTCAGTTTATTGTATTATTGATTCCGAGTTTTTCAGTAATCTTAAGCTAATATTTAATTGGGCTCTACATGCACACAAGGCTTTAAGGACCTGATGTCAAGTGGGCTTAAACGTTCGCATACTGGGCTAGTACCTACTGTTGCTGTGCACCAGCTTGCCCGAAACCGATCAAACAGTACACCAACCCCGGCACACCCACTTCATTCCAGGGTGGCACCAAATTATGGCACTCATCTACAGCTGCCAAGTTTAAAATCTGGTTTATCTGAAAATCCAGTATGGCGAAGGAATTCAGCAGGAGTAGGCAAGTTGGGCATCAGGGGTACAAGTTTTGTAGATTTGAAATTGGTAAATAAAAAGTTGAGTTTTCATTGCTGTAATTCTTATATGTAATTTTGTTTTAAAGAACCAGAGTCTTATCAGTGCATTTTGCACAGAAAAATGCTTCACAAAATGCCCTCTATCAGTAGAAACTATTGTGCATGTAGGTAGAGGGTAGTATTAGGTTATATAGTGTTTCAGATTTATGGCAAATTATCGAGATGTCGACTTAAAAACGTAGTTTGGATAATAGAGAGTGCCTTGTTACAGAGGTCACTCCCATACTGTAGAGTCCTGGCCTTAAGTTTTGCATTAAGGTTTTATGAGCACAAACATGTGTTAGTTTTGGCTGCATCTTTTTCATTCCGAGACCACACATTTTACTTTTTGTATGCTCTTTATTTTTCTCTCTGGTTGACTATGGCTGTTGTGGCTTTATACCTCTGGTTTAAATGCTTAGCTATATATTATCGCATACCAATGTCATTCATAAATAGCTTCATGTATTTATAAGTCATTTTCCAATGCATTTTTACTGTGCATTTATTAAGATAGAAAATGCAGTTTTAGTAATCTTGTAATTTTATATATATATAAAATATAAATATAATATATATATATATATATATATATATATATATATATATATATATATATATATATATATATATATATATATATATATATATATATATATATATATATATATATATATATATATATATATATATATATATATACTGTATATTTATTTATTTATTGTAGTGAAATAATATGAAATACTACATAATAATTACAAGAAGTCAGTCAGATTTAATACAGTATTATAACTTGCAGTAATATTTCTTAATTATAACATTTTATCCATAGGTTATTATTGTATATTGCTGAATATAATTTACTAATGTGTTCATTACAAATATTCTCTTACCAGTAGCATATGATACACAAGTGGATTTTATAATGTTTTCCCTAATATTTCAAATAAGATGTAGAGAGTGTTGATGTGGTGGTCCCATGCAGCCCCCACAGGCTTACCAGCTGTAAACATGTCACCTACACAATCACTTACAGTACAAGCCAGTTATTGAGAATAGTATTCAGTCTTGAACTGCCTTAACAATTGGTTCTGCAATGACAAAACTCGGGAATGATGTCACCGATGGGTGTAGGCATACCTTGCGAATGAATATACATACAAGAAAGAATGTGTGCGCCTAAATACAAATGACTGCAAACTCGATATTATGTTGCAAGATACAATTACAAGTTAATTTTTGATTGGAAAAACTATACTGCAATATTTATGATCTGCATTTATTAGTGGGCGTGAAATCAGCATTAATTGCATGGGTAAGACAGGGTTGATGAGGGACTAGGTAGTCTGGTGTTCAGTCTGGACTCCTCACTTGATGGAGGCTGCTCAACCTGGTCTGGGGTTCACCTATAAAAGTTTATTTGATATAATTATACAGTCAATAACTTTATAATGTTACTGTTGCAATAAATTATTCTTTTAAATTTATATTATTGCATATTTGACATTAGGATATTGTCTTACAAATAAGAGGAGGGGATCTGAAAGATATTTACAAGTATAAATGCAAACCTTTGCCAATAGTTGAACTCGGTGCTAATCATTAATGCCATAATTAAATAATTTAGATTTTATTTCCTTTTTAAAATGCTAAAATAATACAGTATTAGATAATTGTTCGTATGATTTATGAACACAGATCATGTTCATAAACTGTAATTGTATGTTCATATTATTTATGAACATACATACTGTATATTGTTGTGCATATCTAAATACGTACTAATACAGGTACTGTTCACTTAACCTTATTTAAATTTGGTATTTTTGCATGGGTTAACCTCCCCCTTACTTTTTGCATTACTAATACATTGGAAATTAATCTCAATGCTCATTATATTCATAGAAAATTTATCCACAATGAACATATTTGTGGAAGTGACTTTCTTTGAGAAACAGTAATAAGAATTTTTTGTTCAATAACCATGAGTAAAGGAGAATATTCTTGCTTATTACTTCCTTATTCAAGTTATTCAGTTTGGTTATAATCAAGGTAGAGTAGTGTGCAGGATTGACAACCTAACTAGCTACTATGCTTGTGTTTACAAAGGTGATGTGTATGGTGACATACTATATTGAAATAAGTTATTATCTAGGATTTGTCCAAAGAAGATAATGAAGATTGTCTATAATTATATATGAGAAACTAAGAGTGAAATGTAACTGTATGTGAGAGGGAAGAGTAAAGGTGAACTGATGACTGTTTAATTGATTGAACAATGGTGTATGGATGTCTGGCACATGTGTAGGTCTGGCACCTGTGCTGGTGTGTAGATCTGGCACCTGTGTAGGTGTGTAGGTCTGGCACCTGTGCTGGTGTGTAGATCTGGCACCTGTGTAGGTGTGTAGGTCTGGCACCTGTGCTGGTGTGTAGATCTGGCACCTGTGTAGGTGTGTAGGTCTGGCACATGTGTAGGTGTGGATGTGTGATGGTGTAGCTGTAGATACAGGGGGTATGGGTATAGATGCCTGACTGACAAAGGAGGTGTAGATATTGCAACGTGGCTGGTAAAGTGGGTGTAGATGTAGATGCCTGACATTCAAAGAGGATGTGGGTGTGGATGTATGACTGGCAGAGGTGGGGTTTAGGTGTGTGGATGCTTGATTGACAAAGAGGATGTGGGTGTGGATGTCTGGCTGACAAAGGAGGTGTAGGTATGATGTCTGGCTGAAAAAGGGTGTGTGTAGGTATGGATATCTGGCTGACAGAGGGAATGTTGTAGTGGTTGTGTGACGGACAAAGGGGTGTAGGTATGGGTGCCTGGCTATCAGAGAAGGTATAGGTGTGGATGCCTGACTGACAAAGGGGGTGTGGAGCGTGTATGCATCAAAGACATTAGTCAACACAAGGAATAACGGAGAATAATGAGGATATAGACGTTTGTTAAAATTTTTTTTTTTTCCATAATATGTCTAGTACAAGTATTTGTAAATAAATGGATTGTTGTTGAGAATGTCCAGTACAGTTATCTATATTTCCACTAGGCTCATCTTTTAAAGTGTAAATATTTGACAAATTTTCCATTTTCATATATCTTGAATCCGACCCAGATCACCCAGTTCTTTTACAGTGAGGTTCCAACCATATTGCTATTATCTAGACTTTACAGTTACAAATAAAACAGAACAGTTTGAAGATGTTAAACAAGAGTGCATAGGGAAGATTTACAGTGGCTCATTTTTATATGAGAGTTGTGCATGGCGAGTGTCATAGATTGTGCTTATTCTGAAGAAGTAATAGGGTACTGTGGTACTACTGTAATAGTTGTAGTAGTAGTTGTACTAGTAGTAGTAGTTGTACTAGTAGTAGTAGTTGTACTAGTAGTAGTAGTTGTACTAGTAGTAGTAGTCATAGTTATAGTAGTTGTGCTAGTAGTAGTAGCAATAGCAGCAGTAGCAGCAGCAGCAGCAGTAGTAGTAGTAGATGATGATGTTAATATACAGTATATATATATATATATATATATATATATATATATATATATATATATATATATATATATATATATATATATATATATATATATATATATATATATATATATATTATATTATATTATATTATATTATATTATATTATATTATATTATATTATATTAGCAGGATTAGAGTATTCTCTTTAGCATACTAACAAAAGTGTGTAATGAAAATATATTACCGAGCAAGATAGAAACTAAACAAATCAGAGGTATCTGTTATGTTACATTTGCTCTGGACTGAGAGAAAGGTCAATAAGTGTGAGAGATACTGGGTAAGTGTGCACTTTGTGAAAGCTAAGAGAAGGGAAGAGGATAATAAAATTAAGCCAGCTAAAATTAAAAGTGGTGAAGTAAATCCAAGAACTGTATGGATGATAAGTATGATCGATGTGGCTGCAAGTGAGACTGAAAAGTGATGAAGGGGATTGTAATGTGATTGGCTGTATGATAAAGTGGACTGTGGAGTGACTTGACAGTATGATGAAGGGCACTTCATTGTGATTGTGGGGCAATTCATTGAAAGAGGCTGCAGTGTGGCTGAGCAACCTGATGAAGGGGCTGCTGTATGACTATTGTCAGTATGAAAAGGGGGATTGCAGAGTGATCATAGACAGTATGATGAAGAGGGCTGCAGGGCAACTGTAAGCAGTTTGTGATAAGCAGTTGCTTTATCATTTCACAATTATATTTTAAGTCTTCTCTTTCATAAAGTATGTACTTTCAGCTGTAGGTTACTCACAATTAATTATGCTGCAAATAACCCTAATTTGCATTGCCCAACTGAATGCTGTATATACATACTCTCTTACAGTTAATATGACTTCCTAAAACTTATTCTTTTTGTCACAGCTCCAATAACTACATTGCTGCAATAGTTTAATGAAACTTGTATTATATAAGTAATGCTACTTTTTTATCACAAGAAATGTGAAAAATGAAAGACAGCCATCTTTGTCTTAATTTACTGGCTTCAACACAATAATGCTGTAACCAACTTTGTTTACCTCAAATGTCATTCTTGTGTCACATTGCTAATTCATTATTATTTTCACAATGACACACTAACTCATCTCTCATTCTTTTATCTTTCATTTCACTATTTTCTCTTGTCTATTAGTTTTCATTGTTCAACTTCTTTTCTCCATTTTCTGTTCTGACCATCAATTTTCCCTAACAGTGGAGGAGGGCGGGGCTTCTACTCAAGCCTCGCCCACGCCCACGCCCACAACAGCTCTTGATGAACCGCCCAAATTTGGACGCTTCTTGAACGTGCCAGGGAGCGGTGGTGGTCTTGGTTGTGGTGGTGGTGTTGGTGGTGGTGGTGTTGGTGGTGGAAGTACTGAGGGTAACAACCCAACCACTTTTCTGAAAATTATCTGGGAGACATTTGTGATGAGACCAGCAATTTTGACCTTTGATTAAAAGTTTTGATAAAGTTGGTTTTATTACTCTGAAGAAGGAAGTCAATTTGTATGGAAATTGTATTTTAGGCTCAAAATTTCTGTTTGTCTTATTTCTTGGCCTATTATTCCCATTATTTGCTTAAAGATTTGGTGTATTCAAATTACCTTTTACTGTACTTTGTATAATGGTTTACATATTTACTGGGAAATTGGTTTAGTGTTTTTGTACCCGATCTATAGCATATATGAAAGTCGTCTATAAAATTGTCACCCTAGTAATTATTCTTCTGTCAAAATTTATGTAGTTGCCTGTACTATCTGCATGGACGACTGTGCTACGCTCAAGCTTTTTAATTTAATTTGCTCAACTATTTAGGTCAAGGAATACCTTACTGCACCATATCTCCCCAATAATTTTATGAAAAGTACATGATGATGATGTGCTTCTCATTATAACGTTGTGGCAGAAACATGCTCTAGCTTCCTGTTTTCTCTATAGCAGAAAATGGGAATGCACTCAAACTAATATCTGAAGGGCTTGTTCTAACCGCTTTTAGATTTTTCTCTTTGAATGCTTAATTTTTTAATATATTACGTCTTCATTAACCTCTTATAGTATAGTTTATAATTTCAAGGGTATTGGTGCTAGTTTGTAAAATTATATTTCTTTTAGTTGCTTCTTTTTTGTGTAATTGTGTGTGGTGTTTATATGTAATTACCTAAGTAATTACATATGTGTGTGTGTGTGTGTGTGTGTGTGTGTGTGTGTGTGTGTGTGTGTGTGTGTGTGTGTGTGTTTGATTACTTAAGTATAGTTACAGGGTGAGAACTATGCTTGTGGTGTCCTGTCTTCTCTATCACCTTTGTCATATGACACTTTGAAACTGCTGATGGTGTTGGCATCCACCAACCTCTCTTAAATTACTCTAACCTTCCAAAACTGTGTTTGCAAAAGAAAACTCATATGGTGTTTGTTTGTGTGTGTGTGTGGATGTAGGTGTGTATGTGTGTGTGTGTGTGTGTGTGACTGTAGTTACAGGAATACATATTTGTAATCTGTGGAGTCTCGGCTTCCTTATATTTTTAATCATGTAGTTTTGATGCTTCCAATGGTATCAACACACACTTTCCCATCATGCCATTTATTCTGTCTGCCTACCACTAATGCAAAAGAATCTGTTTGTTAATGTTTTATGACACCTATGTTTTGTAATGTGTACTTGGGTCCTGTTCTCCTTGGTGCAGGTTTCAAGAATTCTGCAGCAATTTTTGTCATTTTAGACAATTTTTGTCTAAGTTTTGTCAGTTATAGATCCTCCAATTTTGTTAGATCTGTGAGCCGTTTAGTAGCATATCTGACCGCTGATGTGTTTTTTAAATTATTGGCACCAAACAACAGCTGCATATTTTAATTCTGGTGTTTCACATGTCATGCAATTTTGTTTGTGCATTTCCTCATTTATGTACTTGAAACTGGCGACTGTTTTGTAGGCCCCCACTGACAATGCTTTTTGACATGATCCTCTGGTAACAACTTACTGTCAAGGATCACCACTAAATCTCTCTCTTAACCATATTCTGTAGTCTTTTTGCTTAATGTACAGGCTGACTGTAGTCTTGTCTCACCCCCAAACTCTGTTACATGGCATTTGTCTACATCAAATCCCATTAGCCATTTGTCTCTCCATGTACCTGTTTAGTTCAAGTCGTTAAATATGTTTTATTCGTCCTAATATCTTGGTATTATCTGCAAGCATATTCATATAATTCTATATTCCCTGCAGGTATGTCATTTATGTTATACAATGATTCAAAAAATATTGGGAGTGCTCGTACTGCTACCCATGAGACTTCTCCCCCTCGCTAGTGACTTTCCTCTAGTCTGATTTATGTTCTTTACAGTACTGATCTCATCTACCGCTTAGATATGTTTCATCCATACGAGTATCTTTTCTATTATTCCTCCAGTTTGCTCTATCTTTTGGAAAAAACTGGCTTATGTGATATTTTATTAAATGGTTTTCTTAGGTCTAGATAGATGCAGCGTGCCCAACTGTCTCTCTTGCAAAATCTTATTGACTGTCATAAAACCAATTTAATTTGATATAGATAATCTTCCTGGTCTAAAATCAAACTGCCTAATTTATATATTTTCTGAGGGAAATCCCGTCGGCTCCCTGAAGTTAACGAATTGATATCCGCTATATTAGTTGAGAGCATCATTTACTTGGAGTTCTTGCTTACTGGAAACCATGGAACCAGAGAGGCACAGGGAGCAATGGCTTATGAACACTCCACTTATTGAGAGTACAATATAGTCATGTCTGCCATCGACCAGGGGGTATCACCCAGAAAGGCAGGTGAACCATTACAAACCCCTACTGGTAAAACATTGCAACCCAAGATGGAACAGAGCCCAAGAACTTTCCCCAAGAGGAAACAACAAACAAGCAAATCTCCACTTAACTATCTTGCCCGTTCATTAGCGACCCCCCTCCCCTGGGAGAGGGGAGGGGGGGTCAAAGTGCTGACACCATCAGTTCATTGACTGACGAAGGATAGGGCAGACATTATCTCTGGCCTCATTCTCCTGCATGGATTTTACCCTGTGTGGTTGTGCCAGCTGTGTGTTGTAGTGGGGCCTGACAGCTGAGTGGACAGCGCTCGGGATTCGTAGTCCTAAGGTTCCGGGGTTCGATCTCCGGTGGAGGCGGAAACAAATGGGCAGAGTTTCTTTCACACTGATGTTTTCCTAGCAGTAAATAGGTATCTGGGAGTTTGACAGCTGCTACGGATACTTCCTGGAGGTGTGTAACAAAAAGGAATCCGGTCTAGGACCGGGCCGCGGGGCCGCTAAGCTCCGAAATCATTTCCAAGATAACCTCAAGAAGATAGTCGTGCAATGGGCAGGTGTTCTCAAGTACTCAGGCTGCATGCATCTAGGGCTACCTTCCCTAGGCGCCCGGTAGGTACTGCCCTTGCGTAGTCAAGGTTTTCTTCCCTGGGACATTCAGGATTTCACTCCCATTGAAGTTTGTGTTGCTTGTCATTAACTTTGCCCATGGGGTTCGGCGGGGGTCGTGTGTCTCTCCGCCTGGTCCTGGGTAAGGAGTGTTTTTGTTGCTGGTTGGAGCGCATGGTGTTAGCATAGCTTGCATAATCACGGGAGCTGTGCCTTTCTCTGGCCTACAGTTGTTTGTGGTGTTTTTCGAGGGTTTCAGGATTTTCTCTTTAATTTCCTGGGGGAAGTCTGCCTAGCTTTTGATTAGGTTCACCTAGGTTGTATTGGTGGTTCTTCTTCCTCTGGGTCTCTCGAGGTTGCACACACAGCTTCCTGGGGTTAGTTTGCCCAGTATTAGATGGGGTTCAACTGGCTTAAGCTACACCAATGCCTGGGCTTCCCATCGGGATTCCTCCTCCTGCAGGTCCTGGTAAACCCCTTTGGGGCTTGGTGCGGCTTTGGATATGTCTTCCGAGTCCCCTCTCTCTTTATATGAGTTTGAGGATTGTTCGTTGCCCTTGTCTCAGGGTGATGATCATCTGTTCTGCCTCCATCATGCTGCTTGTTGGGTTGGTGACACTTATGATCCGGAGTCTTGTGAGACTTGTTCCCCGTCCTCCAACTTACCTGTTCTTCTTCGGAAGACCTTAGGGGCCAGGAAGCGGCTGCGTTGCAATTTAGGTTTCTGTTGCTGAAACGCACCTGGTTAGTGGCCCGGTCGGATGCCCCGGTGCTGCCCCGTTTTGGTTTTAGGGACCCGGAATTGGGGGATGTTGGTCGCTTCGACCTTGGTTTTACCCACTACCCCAATTCCTTCCCTGTTGGGTGTTGTTCACCCCTGCTGCTCCTTCTCCTATTCCCAGCTCCCAAACATCTGAGGGTTTTGGAGTTTGGGTTATCTTGAGGTTATCTTGAGTTGATTTCGGGGCTTTAGTGTCCCTGGTCCTCGACCAGGCCTCCACCCCCAGGAAGCAGCCCGTGACAGCTGACTAACTCCCAGGTACCTATTTACTGCTAGGTAACAGGGGCATAGGGTGAAAAAAACTCTGCCCATTGTTTTTCGCCGGCGCCCGGGATCGAACCCGGGACCACAGGATCATGTGTCCAGCGTGCTGTCCGCTCGGTTGGGTGGCCCCGGCCAGGGTGGGGTTTATCTCGGGACGAGATTTGAACGGCTTCGGGCTTGACATTCAGGCGTGGGGATTTTGGAGGTCGAACAGGGTCCAGGCATCCCGTTATCTTGTTAATATTCAGGGTCCTCAGCGGCCTTGTGTGGCTTTGGGGTGTCTGTCGTGGCCGATTATCCCGTCTTCGTCATGCGGTGCTGCTGCCTCCCGGGTAAGTCCATTTATTTACAGTACTTATCTGTGTGCACAGTATATAGCTTCAGGGGGCCGACCGGACTCCCTTAAGAAAATCAGAATGTAATGAAACGACATTTTTTGGGTTGAGCTTTGGAAGCTCCCTAACACCCTCACTCCCTCCGGTCGGTGGTTTGTTATGTACTGCCAGTGTCAGCACTTGGGCCGCCTGGGCGGGGATTCCTCCTCCCCCTCCCCCCTTTCGGGGGAGGGAGGTCACAACAAACAGGCTTGATAGTTGAATGGACATTTGCTTGTTTGTTGAGACATTTGTCTCTTGAGGGGGAGTTCATGGGGTCTGTTCCGTCGGGTTGCAATGATTTTCCAGTAGGGGTTTGTAATGGTTCGCCTGTCTTTCTGGGTGATAACCTCCGGTTGATGACAGGCTTGACTATACACTCACAAAGTAAGGGCGTTCATAAATCATTGCTCCCTGCACCTCTCTGAGGGAACCAGGTTTTGGTTTGTTGTTTCCGGTAAGCAAAAACTCCAAGTAACTGATGCTCAAGACTAGTATAGTGAATATCAGTCCATTAGCTTCAGGGAGCCTCCGGGACTCAACCCAGAAAATGGTGTTTCACTACATTCAATGCTGTTTTTTTTTCAATATATTGAATCCAATTCATTTGAGTTACCTCTGCTAGTTATTTGGCTATTACACTGGTAAATGTTACCAGCTTATTATTCATTAGATCTCTATCATCTTGTTTATAAATTGGATTAGTTTGCCATTTTCCAAGTGTTTCAATTTTTTTCATATAAAAGGATGCCTGAAAAATAATCCTTAATGGACAGCTGAGCTCATGAGCACATTCTTTCAGTATCCAAGGTGATATTCAGTCAGGTCCTTCCATTTTCTTTCTGCCAAAGTTCATGAGCAAAGTTTGTTTATTCATCTCTGGACACATCTTGGTACTTTTATATATGTGTGTGTGTGCATTTATGTATCTGTATGAATGTGTATATGGGTGTGCATACGTAAACTTTGCCTTTTGGCTATATAGTGTATAGTGCCAGAGTCTCTTGTGCTATATAATGCAGAGGAATTATGTGAGAAATTAGTTATTTTTGCTATTTCTCCCTCAAGTTAATTACATTTGCTCACTACCTATAAACAGAAAAAATGCTTCCTGAATTCTCTGTCTCAACTGAGTTTCCAATTTGTGTATGTGCAACCACCCATTTTGTGTGTGTGTGTTTGCACGTACAATACATGTATACAGTATATGTATGTATGTAATTACCTAAGTGTAGTTACAGGAGGAGAGCAACGCTCATGGTGTCCCATCTTCCCAGTACTCTTTGTCATATAACGCTTTGAAACTACTGACGGTTTTGGCCTCCACCACCTTCTCACCTAACTCGTTCCAACTGTCTACCACTCTGTTTGCAAAAGTAAATTTTCTTACATTTCCTCGGCAGCTTTGATTAGTCAGTTTAATTTTATGACCTCTTGTTCTTGAAGTTCCAGGTCTCAGGAATTCTTCCCTGTCAATTTTATCAATTCCCATTACTATTTTGTATGTTGTGATCATATCGCCTCCTTTTTTTCTTCTATCTTCTAGTTTTAGCATATTTAATGCCTTTCATCTCTCCTTGTAGCTCTTGTCCTTCAGTTCCAGGAGCTATTTGGTTGCATGTCTTTGCATCTTTTCTAGTTTGTTTATTAAAGTAAGGGCAATATACAACCGCTGCATATTCTAGCTTTGGCCTAACAAAGGTCAAGAACAATTTCTTTATTATTGTCTAGGTCTTCTTGAAGGGTGTGACAATTGTCCAAGTTTCTTATCTTCCCTAATATGTTTACCTAACTGTGCCTATGCAGAGCAAGATCTAACTCATGGGTTCTCTCCCAGAGAGATTATCTGGTGCATTTATGCCTCCTGACAGTCTAGTACTCTTTCATAATTGTCACATGTATACATACAGTGGAACCTTGAGTGACGAGCGGCTCCAGTAACGAGCATTTTCAGTAACGAGCAAGCCACTCGCAGAAAATATGTCTCGACTGACGAGCTTTCCCTCGATTAACGAGCGTTCCCGCTGGTTCTCGGACACTTCCGACGACATTTTTGTTGTTGTTTCACAAGACTACTTTTCTACATGACGAGCTCGGTGCCGGAACGGATTAAACTCGTTAATCGAGACGCCACTGTACTTGTATTTTCAGAATGTGAGGTAAATTCTTGTGGTACATCATCTTGACTATTGCCTGTCATCTTGACTATTGCAGCACCTGTATTTCAACTTTCAAATGCTTTGTTGCATCAGCTTTTAAAACAATAGATGAACATGTTTATACATGTATTTGTATTTTCCTATCTTTTCTTACCTATTTGGGTGTAGAGAATGAGCTGAACTCTTGGTGTGCTCATCTTAGTTGTTATTTGTCTGATGCAGTCTTGCAACCCTTTTGTATTCTGTAATATCCACATTTGACTGTGAATGGAGTTCACCTCCAACTTCTCTTTCAGTTTATTACAATGATTCACTATTCAGACACTGAATGAATTCATTCCTATGTTGTTCTAACTAATGTGCTTTGTGTATTTAGGAGTAGGTAAGTTTTATCTACTTGTCTAAACTTATGGTTTTGGGCAATGAGCTCTTGCTCCTGGCCCCTGCCTTTTAGCTATGGATTATATAGTACAGTGGCTCTTGGCTCTTGGCTCTCATGTATTTTGTCAACCTATGTAAGCTATAGATGGAATTTTGTGTGTTGGAGCATGTGTGTATGGTTCTGTGTGTTGTGTATATATATATATATATATGTGTGTGTATGTATAATTTCCATTTGCATGTATGAATGTTGTGTATTCTAATACACATTCATATAGTTTATGTACAGTATCTATATGCAACCGTATAAATACATCTAAATATATGTGTGTGTATAGATCTATAAATTGGCATGTTGTTGGATTTGTAGTTTTATGTGACGCAAAATTTCAAATTCGATTGTTTATGCTTGCATCCTTAGTTTAGAAAATTTTTAAGAAGTTGGAATATAGTTTTCCTTTTTATTATGACTTCTTTTAAAGTTAATGTTTGCATGATATTGAACCCTACGTGCTTTTTATTGTTTTGTCTTTGAATTTTCTGTTTTATATCTATTTACTTTTTAGAAAAGCTTTAAATAAAATTTGATGTTTACATTTTCTATTTGCAGTGTGTAATGCAGTTGCCTGTTTTCTATTTGTTTTCTTAGGCCATAAATATTGTACCTGTGTGATAACCAGACATAAATGGGCCAAGTTTACATAGTTTCCTCTTACTAGCTTTGTATATCAGCACTAGTCCTTCACAATAAATATGCCTTGCTTTACTGTCATAAATATAAAGCAAATTAGCTATGCTTTCACTTTCCTCAAGAGGCCATTTGTGTTGCTTAGCACACTAACCCAGAAGTAGGTTTTCTTGGTGTTTTTTGTTTCAGTTGCTAATTGCCTGTTTTGTTTCTCTCTCCCTTGTCTGGTTGCTTGTTATCCAGACATTGGATCAGGCTTCTTCAGAGCCTTATCCTTTTCAGGTGGTAACAATGCCAGCGTTATCTCGAATCCCGACGGAACAATGGAGCAATCTCCCTCATCTGGCTCTATTACATGCAACCACAGCTCAAACAACCTGGATGGACCTGAACATAAGGTATGGTTTACGCATATTAATCTCATTACTTTACATATCAATATCCCTGTTCTGCATAATATATCAATGAGAAAATCATTCTGGGACAGTGGGGTGACTTGAATGACGATATATATATATATGTACAGTATATATAGATATATATGCAGACGAGGATTCACAGTAACGTGGCTGAAATATAGTTGAGCAAACCACACACTAGAAAAGGAAGGGACGACGACGTTTCGGGCCATCCTGGACCATTCTCCAGTCGATTATGAGACAATCAACTTGAGAATGGTCCAGGATGGACCGAAGTGTCGTCGTCCCTTCACTTTGTAGTGTGTGGTTTGGTCATCAAAATAAATAAATAAATAAATATATATATAGTATACATATAATTTTTCCTTATACTGTATGTGTATATGATTGATATGATTGTATTAATGTATATGACAACCCTGCAGGGAAACACTCACTTCATGCGGAAGATTCCTGCTGGTGCTGAGGCTTCGAACATCCTTGTTGGAGAAGTGCCCTTCCTTGATAAGCCTGCCACGGCATTTGTCCGTTTGTCCCAAAGTGCCAATCTTGGTGATTTGACGGAAGTGCCTGTACCTACCCGTTTCCTGTACATTATACTAGGACCCCTGGTGAGCGTAAATTTTTTCAAAAGCAAGCACAATTATAAAATCAAACTACATTATTTTATGGATAGCTTGTGTACAGTAATTGTAAAAACTTGAAAAGAATCCCATGTGGGTAAAGTGCTATACCAAAAGAAAATACAGTATACTTTCACTTCTCATGTAGTACATCCTTATTATGCTTGTTATTTACAAAATTAATTAATATTAATTAAAAATAATTGTAGTAAAATATGTAAAGTTTATAGTACAGGTAATGATAAAAGTACTAACACACAGAACTCACACTAACATGATAGATATCAATGAGAAAATCCACTAGGGCTGTGAGGTGGTGCAAATCTACAACCTCAGCATTGCCAGCCTCATACTCTACCACTGGACCACTGCTGACTTGTCAAACATTTACAAGTCATCAGTGGTCCAGTTATAGAGCATAAGGCTGGCAATGCCGAGGTCGTAGATTCGCACCACCTCACTGCCCTAGTGAATTTTCTCAAACCACTAACAATAACATTTTATAAAGTAAAATTCAACTTTATTTCAGGGTGGCCTTCCAAGGTATCATGAGATTGGTCGTGCCATGGCCACGCTTCTCAGTGATGAAGTGTTTCACGACGTAGCATACAAGGCAAAAAATAGAAGTCATCTCTTAGCTGGTGTTGATGAGTTTCTAGATGCTGTGACTGTCCTGCCACCTGGAGAGTGGGATCCAGCCATTAGGTCAGTTGCCCACTCATCATATATATACATGCGGTATATAAATATATACAGTACGTATATATATATATATATATGTCATCCCATCTTCCTAAAATGAAAGTACTTATAGCAACTATTTGGTCAAAACTACCAATATGTAGTGATGGACCATCAGAAAGTTGACTTTTGTATTATTGAATTTTTACTCCTTAGGATTGAACCACCTGCTGCAATTCCATCTCAGGAGCCAAGGAAAAATAAGAAGGTAGAAGCAGCAGAAGTAATAGATGAAGAGGAGGAGGAGATGAAGATGCGAGAGGAGGCTGGTCTCACACGCACTGGCCGATTATTTGGTGGCTTCATTAATGACATTAAACGAAAAAAACCATGGTTCTTGAGTGATTTTAAAGATGGGTTCTCCATACAGTCCATTGCCTCCATTATTTTCATTTATTTTGCTTGTCTCACCCCAATCATTACCTTTGGAGGTCTACTTGGAGAGGCCACTGAAAACCGTATTGCTGCTTTGGAGTCTCTTGTTGCTGGATTAGTGTGTGGCGTGGTATATGGCTTATTCTCTGGTCAACCTCTGACTGTCTTGGGTTCAACAGGTCCTGTTCTGGTCTTTGAAACTATCTTATATGACTTCTGCAAGTAAGTAATTTTATATACATTACAGTATTTTAATCATTTTTAAACTGTTATTTATTCTTTAGTTTTGTGTTTCAATTAGAGGGATCAGGCTTTGACCCATTACCGTCAAGAATTTTGAGGCTAAAAATGTCTAGCTATTGTGTTTAGAATGCAGCTTCTGAAGGTCATTATTATGAGAAACAAGTTAGTTATTGAATTTAAACCTGCTTTTATTGTTGCTTGTCCCCCAACATCAAAGTGTTTAATTCAAGTACTAGTACTAGATGATATTTGATGTGCCCTTTTCATATTTATATTGACTTTAGCATTTGAAGAGTCTGCATAATGTCATGATGTTTTAACAATAAGCACCATCCCTTTGCATCTTATTGACCACATTTCTGCCAAACAAGGGTGACTAAAGTAAGACAGGAGACAGAAGGAAAATGTTAGTCTTCAACCTTTACTTTCTGAAGTATATTTGGGAAGGACATTACTATGCATGTGATATATTGTATTTTCTTTACATTCCATAATGTTATATATCATATATATATTTAATTCACAAATTTTAGAACAATGTCGTGGAGTTACCTTTCGTTCCGCTTGTGGATTGGTGTCTGGTCTGGGATCATCTTAATGATCCTAGTGGCTGTTGATGCCTCTGCCATGGTGTGCTTCATTACCCGTTTCACTGAAGAAAACTTTGCTACCTTAATTGCATTCATCTTTATATACAAGGTAAGATCTTATTTATTGTAGTTGTGTTTTATATTTTTATTCTTAGGTTCCAGAAACTGAAACATTTTTATAACTTAACCCTCCACAATTATAAAATTTATGTGAAGAACTAATATACTAGGAGTAAATTATGTGAGTTTCGAATATAAGAGCTAATGAAAAGTTTGTATCATTATTTTATACATGAAAATTTTAAAAATGGTAATTTGGTCAGTAAACTATGGAATTACTGCATGTAAAGTGATCAGATTTGCAGTCCCCATGGTGTAGGGGTAAGACGCTCGCCTGGCGTTTCACGGGCACTTTGTCCTGGGTTCGTATCTTGGCCGGGGAGGATTTTCTGGGCACAAATCCTTAACTGTAGCCTCTGTTTATCCAACAGTAAAATGGGTACCTGGTTGTTAAACGATTTGGCGAGTCGTATTCCGGGGAACGTAGGATTAAGGACTCTCCCGAAATGCTATGCGTGCTAGTAGCTGTACAAGAATGTAACAACGCTTATATATATAAATAAAAAAAGATACCATTTGTAATGGTTGCATTGTTTCGATCTTAATGATTTCTGTTTGCACTGATCAACCATTTACTTATTTTGTTGTTTCTCTGATTTTTAAGCCTATATTTTTTTTAGAAAGATCATTGCCCACTTAACAGTACATAGTCATGTTGGTTTAGTTCATCTATTATACACTACATACTGTACTTATCCTGTGGGTGGTAGTGTTAAAGGTTACAGAGGCACATAATGGGCTTTAGGTTCTGAATCCAGAATTCATGGCAAAACATTCAATTTTTGTATTAGACCTACTCCAATCCACATACATATTTATAATGTTTTATTATCAATTTCATTCTTTTACTTGTACTGTATTACAATAGTTGATAATGTAATTAATTTGCATGACTATATTGCTTTTTAGATATAAATGAGCTGAGCTATATTTTAAATAGCATAATTAAAGTTTGCTCATGATGTTTTGATCATGTCCAAGTTTTTTTATAATTAGCATTTGTTAAGCTTAACTAGCCTTACAAGTCGGTATAATATTTCTCCTTTGGATTCCATTCACAACTGACAGGTATTATTAAAAATTTAAAAAATCACTAAATATTAACTTAAATTGGATGTACCTCTATATACAATATACTGTATTTGTTTCTACTTAGGCTGTTGAGAAAGTAATGAAGATTGGTGATAAGTATCCAATGGAAACATCGGTAGATACTTTAAAATACTGTGAATGCGTACCACTCAATGAAACGCAAGAAGTGATGAATTCTACCGATTGGATTAGCATCGGGGAGGAGGACTGCATGAAGGTAAGCTATGTACAGCGTGCCTCTCCTTCCTCACTACCTATTACAATACTAATATACACCTGGTCTTCATAATAGCTTTTATGTTAGGATTGGTTAGGTATGATCAAATTTCTATGGTAATTTTGAAACAAAGTAAACAAATATTAAATCGTGTAATGTACAGTACTGTATTGGAAAGCTGTATCATTTCCCAAGGAAAAATATTTGAAAAATCTATTTATATATATATATATATAAATATATATATATATATATATATATATATATATATATATATATATATATATATATATATATATATATATATATATATATATATATATATATATATATATATATATAAATTTATTTATTTATTTATTTTTTAGTACCTAAAAGGTGTACCACCTCTGGTGCAAGTGTAGGGACCCATGGCCTCGGAGAAGAAAATAATGAGTACTTACAGAAGACCTTGTGGATCCTCACTGAACACTGATATTTTCTTCTCCTACCACCCCTATTCTTTTAGTGTGTGTGTATATATATATATATCTAACTTTATTTTAAAATTTCATTACACAAAAAGGGTTACAACATTGGTTACATGCAAGGTACAAGACTACTTGTCACAAGTTGTATAGCTCCTGCAGCTCTTCAGATGGCGAGCAGGAACCATGGATGCAGTGAGGATTTCCTCTCTGGATTGCCACACTAAGGTGCTGAAAGAGAAAACTGGTGGCTCTAGGGTCTCTAGTTGTTTCAATTAGCTTGGACCCCAGCTCCTTCAAAAAACTTGCAACACTTTTACCCCAGGCACCAAGTGTCTCTGAGGCAATGGGGACAAAATTGTAGTGGTGATCAAGGTCTCCGTACTTACGTGACTGCTTCCCGGCGATTGGCAGCACCTCCTGCCTGTGCAGCACTGAAGTTAACATAGGTGTTGCCTAAGGTTGAAACGCAAGTGTAGTCCCACACCAACTGTCTACCATTCTTCCAGGTGTTCTCCGTGATCCTGTCTGGACGACCGACAGGCTCATCAGAGTTGCGAGGCATTAGGTAACGGGGCTCTCTCTTTGCTGGACAACCGGCCGTGGTAAGGCTTCTCTTGTTAATGTCGCTAACCTCGCCGTGTCTTGCATGCCATCCTCCTGTCCTTTGGCAGAGAAGGCCATGCCATCCGTACCTATCGGCCACTGCCTCGCCGCAAATACACCTGTATTCGGTGTGGATTGGGGCAGCAAGGTGGAGAGCCACAGCAGTTCAGAGGGCCTGCGGTGTGAGACGAGTGCCAGTTGCTGACATTGGGGCTGCTAATAGGAAGTCCTCTGCATGGGGAGCTGCTACAGCTTTTAAGTCAGGCAGTATCATGTGGTGTTGTCGCAGCTTCTAGTAATGTCGCAGCTTCTTGGTCGGCAATGGGGCAGTCCCAGCTGGATTGCTTATGGGCTTCAGAAAGCAGTGGTTGAGGTGCTGGTCCTGCGAGATAGACCCATTTGGTGGTGCAGTCTTTAAAGCTGGGATCATGTATCCCTGCTTGTTGAACTAGGTGCTCAGGAAGGATTTCCTTCACCAAGTTGTCAGACGCCACTGAAGAGGACAGAAACGCTGGTACCGCAATTTGTGTTCCTGTGCACACGCAGAGGCCCCTGAATCTGACAGGAAGGGAGGCCTGTTTCCACTGGAGTCGCTGAGAGAAAGGTTGAGAGCTTTTTCTAGCATTGATTTCAGCAAGCTGTCGTACTCTTCTAATTTAATATTGTTGAAAGATGCCGAACATCTAAGAAAGTAGGTCACCCTGGGGAGGGACAAGCATCTGGTGATGAGGTAAAGTGCATCATGAGCATCGATGTCTTCAATCCTCTCATTCATCGTCTTCAGGTCAGTGATGATCTTACCAAGGACCTCGTTGATGGCATTCCCTCCAAGAGGAGCACCTAGAAGTGTGCTGTCCTCAGGGTTGGTTATGTGAATATCAGGTAAAACCACCTTTATTTGCTCTATTATGTTCTGATTGGTAGAGGTTGGACATGAAGGACCCAGTAGCTAGAATGTGAAACTAATCTCCAGTAATCTTTCCTTACAGATGTATAATGGCACACTAATCGGAAATGGACCCGAGTGCGCACATTATTACCCTGACGTATTCCTGCTGAGTATTACCCTCTTCTTTGGTACCTTCCTCATCTCTGTATATCTCAAGGACTTCAAGTCTGCTGCTTTCTTCCCTGCCAAGGTGAGAATATACTTTTTTTTTTAAATGTTACAAAAATTGCCATGCATTGCCGTTTCATAGGTTTTCTGCTACAAAGCTCTAGGTTGTTATTAAGTAACATTTAGTACAACATATGTCACCATACTGCATGTTCATGACAGTTGGATATGATTAGTTTGAAGCTAGAGGGAGACAAGACTATTTAAAGTTTTTGTGGCTTAATATGTAAACTAATGCACTTGTTGGGGGTTTCCTGTTAATTTTCACAGAAAAGTTAATTTAGCAAAGGATGGAATGGTGTTTGGTGATGTTATTGGGCACAATAAAAATAAAAACTGGTTTCAGCTGGTTGTGGCATGAGAAAATTGGACAGCATGATGATATAGTATGCTAGAAATAAAGAAAGATGTAATAACTTGAAATAAAGAAAGATGTAATAACTTGAAATAAAAGAAAGATGTAGTAGAGAAATAAAAGATAGTGTTAGGTTGGGTACATTGATAGGATAACCACACAGATTGAGTAGGTAGAGGCTCAAGAGAGAAGAGGGAGGTAGAAAAGAAGGTTCAAGATAAAGATACATCACATGGGTGAAAGATGTCATATGAAGAAGCATAATGATAAGAGAAGCCTGCTTTTATCACCCTATTAGCTAGAACAAATTGTGTTTCAGGAGATAGAATACAAAAGTAGAGGATTGGTAGAATACAATACAATATTTATATGATTCATATTCCTTCTGGAAACTCCTAATTTTTAAGAGGCAAGTCAAATATAGATACCTTCCTGGATACTGTATTTCAAGCACCTTCATGTGTCCCAAAAACTCAATAAAGCATGTGTGACATCTGTAAAAAAAAAAAAATCATAATATTGGATTGGGTTGGGAAGCATATATGTGAAGCAATCACCACATGCTGGCTCCAGGAAACAAGAGTGCCTGTGGACTGTCCTCAACAATCATGTACAAATGAGAAAGAATGTGGAATGCCTTCCATCCTCACCAGTGGCTTTAAACCCTATGAATTGGCTTCTTTCCTCATGAGTACTTTTTTCCCGTTGAATATATCCCTCCCTCGTGAGTGCCTCATACACTTGAGTACCTCCCTTCATAAGTTCCTTCCTACCTCAAGAGTGTTTTCTTCCCTAATGATTGCCTCCTACCCTATGAATGCCCTTTCCACCCCATGTATGTTGTAAATGTATTAATGATGTCACTAGGCCTACATGTAATGCAAAGTTCTCCTCTCTCTTATGCTGGGTTTGGAGATCGCTATTTCACCCCAGTCAGATCAAAATGTTTTTGTCTACTTTTACCAAGAAATTTGTGGGCCTTTGATTAACATGATAATTTATAACTACAAAATAAAATTGTTAAGAAAATAACTAAATTGAACACAAATTCACTGATTGCCTCTAAATTGTTTTAAATTAATAATCTTTTATATATTTTTCAAATGTTGTTGAATGAAAACTTAATTTTAAAAATGTCCTTTTTAAATTGCAGGTCCGTCAGTTCATCAGTGATTTTGCTGTTATTATTGCTATTGTTTCAATGAGCTGTATTGATATGGCTATTGGCATTCATACACCAAAACTAGACGTTCCATCCGAATTCAAACCCACGTGGGAGGGCCGTGGCTGGATCATTCCTCCCTTTGATGGTGAGCATTTGATATTTATTTTAGGTTCTTCACTACTGCTTTTTAAATTGGATGAGCAGTACAGTAATCTAATTATAAAAGCATTACAGGAATTTCTTTGGATTCTTTGTTATATTTTTTTAACAGAAAGACTGTGAATTTAACATCAGTGTTGATTGTTTTGGTTTAAGCCTAACATAATACAATTCATCACTATGAATTGAGGAATTCATACAATCACTAGGTTAGAGAACATATTTAGATTTGTTGTTCAGTGTAATGTCTTTATGTATATACAGTAAGTATAATCAATTTGACAATTAATGTCAGCCTCAAAGCATTATCTCAGAATTTAACTTTCAGAATATCTTCAAAATTGTTATGGGTTTTACTTAGTGTTTGATAATTAATAATATTTACTTTCAGCATTCTGATCAGTGTTACAAATGTAAAAAATAGGGTAATATGCATAGCTAGAAAGGCCTACCTTTTGGTTATCTTTTAATAGTTCCAGGGATCACGATCATCATGGTCTGGTGAGAAGACTGCTGCTCTTATTGCCTCTGCTGCCGCTGCCTCCCCCTCTGCCTCCACCTCCTCCTCCTCCTCCTCCTCCTCCTCCTCCTCCTCCTCCTCCTCCTCCTCCTCCTCCTCCTCCTCCTCCTCTTTCTCCTATAATTCCTCGTTTTTTTCCTCTTAACCCTTGTCTTTCTCCTCCCACTCTTCGTCTTTCTCATCTTCTACTCCTCCTCCTCCTCTTCCTCCTCCTCCTCCTCCTCCTCCTCCTCCTCCTCCTCCTCCTCCTCCTTTTCCTCCTCCTCCTCCTCCTCCTCTTCCTCCTTCTCCTCCTCATATGAAGCCTGAGAGGCTTCATATGCTTCCCCAGTCTATGGATTTCAAGTTGAAGTCGCTAACTACCAAGAGTCGTGATCTATCTTTATCAGCTCTCACTATAATCTCTCTCCTTATTGTTATAAGACCCTCTCGTTTATTATCTAGCTCCTCCTTTGACCATGTGTTGCATGGCAATGGACTATATGCATTTATGATAATTAGTTTATCATCCTGATTGAAGATCTCTAGTACTGTACTATTATGTCAACTTCTCTTGGATTGGCAATCATTATTTCATTTACCTTTAGGTATTCTTTCACCGGCACAGCAACACTACCGCCTTTCCTAATTTTTCTGTCCCGTCTCCAAACTGAATAGCCCCTTGGGAATATGACCTCAATTAAAATATCATCTTCATGTTTCGTCACCGTGAGTGCAACAATGTCTGGCATCTGCAGCTGTATTACATCACTTAACCCCAGTATCTTTGATCTCACTCCATTTATGTTGGTGTATGCAATTTTCAGGAACATATTCCCCCTCTCATTATTCTTCACCCCCCTCTCTCTAGTGATTTTATTGGTTTCCCTTTTTGTATCATTTTACTGGCCTGCCTACTCCTATCACTTTGTAGAAAAAAAGAATTTATTTCTTCTTCATTCTTATGCTCTCATCATAAATGAGAGCATTTAGATGTTTTGCCTCTACGAGGTTCAGTTTCAGCTTCTTTCTGTCTTCTTTCGAAAAATCTCGTCTTAACGACCATACTTTCCCTTCCTCATCTAATTTTCTAGCATTCCTTAGTACTTCTTCCATCTGTTTGGCACCGTTTAGAGTGATCCTCAAAGGTCTATCTTTCCCATTTACGTACCTGCCGATTCTCCTGTAGTCGCTGACATTCTCTATGGTCGTAAGATCTTCCACTAGTCCAACAATTTTATCTACTATTTTCTCTTCGTCTACAGCTCTTTCTGACCTAGATATTATCTTTTCTTTGCAACCAAAAATTATCAGGGACTTCGATCGATTGTGTTTTGCACCAATTTAGGATTTGATACCAGTTCCTTTCTGACTTCCAGCCTAATATTTGTTTTATCCTGGTTGCTGAAGTATTTGTCTTTCTTTACTACTGCTTCTATTTTTTCCTTCTCCAAATATGGTGAGTTGCATATCCTTCTTGCACTGTTCTATTCCCTGTGTAACTTCCTCCATCTGTACTGACAAAAGCTGTTTTTCCTGTTGATTTTCCTTACCTAACCTATATTAGTCATTTAAGTTTAAATTTGCTTTAACTTCTTCCAAAGTTATTTTCATGAGTTTATTTTCCTCTTCCATGGCTTTGCAATTTGTTTCCAATTGATTCTTGTCCTTACATAAGTCTTTCACAAACCCCTCAAGACCTAATACTTTGCTACTCAAGTGGTCATTACTTTCTTTCAATTTGCTGATTATTTCTACATGATAGTTCACTGTCATATCTAATTTTGCCAACTTGTTGTGTTGACTGTTTATATCAATACTTTTTCATTGAATCCACCAAACTCTAGCTCTGTTTTGTTTTTCCTCTTGCCAGCGGCCATCTTGAATTTCAATGTCAATAGGCCGTTCTCCCTCTTCGCCCTTACATCATAACGGCCTATTGACATAGCTCGAGTGCAGGGGGGAGTTGTGTAAAACCATGGTTTGTGCCTCGGAGAGGCTGCGGGATCCAGTAAGTTCAGTAGAACTTCGGTTTCAACTCTTTTTAACCCTGTCGTAGCTCAGTCGATTAACGCAGTGTCTGGGATGCTCCCGGACGCAGGTTCGAATCCTCGTCACGGCCCTTATGGATTTGTTCATATAGAGACATTTACACAGAGACACTTATGTTACAGTGTTGAAAGGGAGTAATAATGAGTGTTTATTTCTAGGTAACCCTTGGTGGACATCCATAGTTGCTGTTGTTCCTGCACTGCTTGCCTGCATTCTCCTGTTCATGGACCAGCAGATCACAGCTGTCATTATTAACAGGAAGGAGCACAAATTGAAGGTAATTATATTGCTAGTCATCCAAGTGTATCAACAGTATCATCTTTAACATCATTATAAAATAATTTTGTTTTGTTTTATTGATTAAAATAAAATTTTTGGCACTTATTCAGTTGACATTTAATAATAAAAAATTATCATTTGTTAAATTACTGCTGAGTTTCAGATAGTATTAAGTGGTGGAAAATATCCTTTGCTGCTCATAACCATTCAATTGCGTAACACAACCAAGAATGTTCTTGCTAATTATCCATCAGCTGAGCGACACGATCAAGGATGTTTTTAAGTTCCACGTAAGATTTAGAACTCCCACAGATACACAGGGCTCACATCTGCTTCCGCAGGCCTACAGTAAGCAGATGCCATCTTGGAAAAAATTTGTGGGCACTGTTCCTAGCTGTGAGGGTTTCAGTACTAAGAGAATGGCTACGAGTAGCTCATACAGCAGCAGCTCACAACACAGCTATGCAGCTTGTGCCTTTATCATCACTTAATAATGGTGAAATAAATAAATAACTGCAATTATTTAATGATGGCAGTGTCATGGAAGCTCCTGACAGTGATAAAGACTGTACAAGGTTCAGATATCAGAGAACCCAATGCTGGGTATGATGTGCGCAGCAAGAGACACATCCCCAGCACACAGCAGCAGTTTGGTGCATGTACACATCATGAAACGGGACCTCATGTTCCTTTAGAAAATGAACTTGTGGAAAACGATTCATATTCACGATTTATTGACCAGGATTCTGATAATACAGTAATACACTGTTATTACTGCTATTATGATAATACAGCTATTATTATGATAATACTGCTATTATGATAATACAGTAATACACTGTTATTACTGCTATTCCACCAGGCTAGAGTCGGTGATGTGCATAGTACATCACTTTGTTTTCTCAGGTGCTGTAGGCAACTGACTAGTGTGTGGCACTATACAATATTATGAGATTACCATGCTCACCAGAATTGCTTAGTTGTTCAGAATGGTGCATAAAAATGTAGATATTTATATATAACATGTATACAGTGTAAATAATAGCAAAAGCAATGTTTTGTTTTCAAAGTTTATAATATTGTGCACATATTAGTGACAAGACTATATCTGTGTATGCCTATGTTCTAAACATTCTATAGTATAAATAACATTATTGACAGCCCAATGCATTATTGCATTCGAAAAAAAGCCATGGCAATTGCATACAAAATATGAAGAAACAGTATGTTTTATTGTTCTAAGAATATAATATGGTGCACATGAATATATTTGAGCATATCAATGCTCCAAACATTTTATTATATAAATTTAAAAAAAACCCACACTATTGAATAATATTACTGCGTAAAAGCCAGTGAAAAAAATAGTTGGTGACGTTGAAATAAATATGTAAAAATACCTTCATGACAACTCCCGCCCCACACCTAGTCTAGAGCAACCTCCACAGGACGATTGCTCCATGACCGCTCATGAATCATGACATCATTGCAAGATGTCCTCATTTCACCATGGCCAGAGTAAGTCACAAACATTTGTTATCATTTTCCCATGATCAGGCAATGCATTTTAACAGTATTAGAAGGAATTAAAAATGTATGATTTATTTTCCATGCACCATGGGTGTAACAGTATAAACGGATGTAACCCAAGGGTAAATTATAAAAATTTTGAGGGGAATTTTTTTTCTATATTCACAGAAAGGTGGTGGCTTCCATCTTGATTTGTTTGTTTTGGCTCTGCTCATTGTGCTGAACTCCTTGATGGGTCTACCATGGTTTGTAGCAGCCACTGTCCTTTCCATCAACCACGTCAACTCTCTCAAGTTAGAATCAGAGTGCGCTGCACCTGGTGAGAAGCCCCACTTCCTTGGTGTTAGGTAAGTTGTATATATGCTTACATTATATGCTTTATGCTGATCGAAAATATGTGTTAGAAAGTACCATTATGTAAGAATTACAACAATTGACTCCAGAGTCCTCTGATGGTAATGGTTGTAATTCTCAAAGTTCATGTAGTTACACAAAATTAATTATTACTTGACCTTTTTTTTCAGGGAAAACCGTTTGACTCACATTACCATCTTTATTTTAATTGGGTTGTCAGTAATAATGACACCAATTCTGCGCAAGATTCCCATGGCCGTACTGTTTGGTGTCTTCCTGTACATGGGTATTGCAGCACTGAAAGGTATTCAGTTCTTTGATCGTATCCTCATCATGTTTATGCCTGTGAAGTATCAGCCAGATTACACTTTCCTGAGACAGGTGTGTATCTTAAGTTATTGTTTTTAATTACATTAGATTAGTAGTAATGATAGTAATTTACTCCTGAACGTGTGACATTTTGGTTTTGAGTTGATATATATTTGTTTGTATTTCATGATTGTTTACAGGTTTATTAATATTAATTTTTAAACAAAATTATTAATACTGAAGAATAATTTTAAATTAAACTCAATTGCTGAATGGGTTCATATGTATCATCTTTGTATAATTTTCAGGTGCCATTGAAAAAGGTGCATTTATTCACTGCAATCCAGCTGACTTGCTTAGCAGTGCTGTGGGCCATCAAGTCCTTCAAACAGACCTCAATCCTCTTCCCACTCATGGTTAGTATGGAGGCATTTTGCTGCTCCAGCTTAAACCTTTATAAAGACTATTGTATCTGCTTTTCCATACTCTTATTTCTTTTACATACATTCTACTTTCCCCAATCCAACTCGTTCGGCTCTGATCATGATAAGAAATGTAGTAATGACCAGACAGTTGGTCAATCCTGACCTCAAAAAATATTATATTTATGTCAAAAATGAATAACAGTTAGCTACTTTAGATAATGCTACAGACTTCCCCGCCCTATTGCGGCCAAAATATGCCACTTACTATTTTTTTATTATTTTTCCTGTGATCAGAGAACACAAATTAACAGGTTTATAAGAGAAAAAAAATTTGATTTTTTTTTTCTGCGCCTGTGGGTGACAAAGGCCAAATAACCCTTAGTAGTTTGGGGGTTAATATCCAGAATCACTTATAGATCTTATTATTTGTTCAGGTTCTTTAATATCATTTCACATAATTTATAGATATATAGGGGTATGAATTCTAATATACCCCGTATATTATTTATAGATAATATACGGGGTATATTAGAATTCAAATTAATTCGAATTAGAATTCTACATCAACCAAGTATCAACCAGAATTACAGTACAGGGGTACCTCGGTTTAAGAATTTAATCCTTTCCTGGAGACGGATTATAACCCGAAAATTCGTAAACCGAAGCGAATTTCTCCATAAGAAATAATGGGAAATGAATTAATCCATTCTTGACTCCCCAAAAACTTCACTTCAAAGTAAATTTTATACCTAAGTCACCCAACTCTTCACTACAAAAATATGTTCAAGTTATTACTTACCCTTGCTGATGACTCCTGTTGGCATATGGAAGATGGTGAGGAGGGGGGAGGAGAGGTGTTACTGTTTGGAATGGGAGTCCCCTTCCATTATAACATCAGACAGTGAAGATTTCTCTGTGGTGCACTTTCTGGCACGTTTTGTCTGCATACCACTAGGTCCTGGTTGTGGCTCTCTGCTTGATTTTCTCACTTTTCTCATAAGGAAACGTTCCATTGCAGATTGTTTTTCCCTTCTGTGCAACACTTGTCTGTAGTGAGGCATCACATTGTCATTAAAAAGATCAATGCAATGGCCTACTACAGCTTTATCTGGGTGATTCTTTTCAGCAAAACATTGCAGTCCTTCCCATACTGCACACATTTTCTTAAATAATGAGGAAGGGACATTCTCTACTGCTTTCTCTTCCTCCGCTGAAGATTTATTGTACTGCCTAGCTAGTTCAACAGAACGAGTACCATTTTTCATTCTTATGAATGATCTCTTTGTTTTTCCTCTATGTTCATTCTCACATGTGATTTCTTGCCTTGAACCTTACCACTGGCTTTCTTGGGACCTATGGCGAGATATATAATAACAACTTTTATGCTCAAATGGCCAAAAATCCGACAAAAATCTGTAAATTCTTGTGAAGAATTCAGGCGGGATAGTGACTGGGCGCAAGGCACTGGTAAACTTGAGGCGTGATCACCGTGCCACCACGCGCTAGGTCAGCCATACGCATATCAACAAACTCGTATCCCGATTCAAATTTTCTGAACAAATCGGGCTCGTAACCTGAAAAGTTCATAAACAGGGACGTTCATAACCCGAGGTACCACCGTACCTTTATCCATTGTCGATAACTTCAACTTCAATTATCTCTGAGACTAGAGTTTCAACTTTGAGTGGCTTCTAAAATTCCAGTTTTTGACCGATTCTCACCAATTTGATATATTGTGTTCTCAGCTGTCTGTTCTACAATCCCTTTAGAATGAATTTTTCATAAATCCTATACGTTTGGAGTTATAATTTTCTTTGGTCTGAATTTGCCGCATATTTCAAATGCCGTATTGACGATTTGGTTTTACAGTAAACTATACTGAAAACCTATATTCCAATTTGATGAAAATGAAGATCATATGCCATTCTGAGAGAATAATAACACCAAATGAACAATTGGTGATAGTTTATATTTTTTATCATGATTTGAAAATCTGAAGTTTTCAATATTCAATTTTAAATTATTTTTTATTCTCTTGTTTTTCAAGTTACGTTGTGATCATTTAGACAAAGTTGGAGCATTTTGCTACTTCATTATGCACTAAGCACAAAAAATTGGAAAGTGTTTGTGCAAGTTTTAAAAACATGAATTATGTCAAATCGTATACGTATGTTTTGTGCGGTTTAAGGGTTAAGAAACTGATAATTTTGACATTGCTAATATCTATCTCCAGTTAAGGTACATCAGCAAAAACTGTTTTCTGGAGGTCAGGGCACCTGGAAAACAAATCCTTATTGATCAGTTTGTGGTGAGAACTCCAATTACAGGATCTACCAGTCAGGACTCTCAGATAGAACCCAGCAATGTCTCAGCTTCTGACACTATATGCAAATCACAGTACTGTACTAGTATTATGATTTGCTTGCTGTAAGGCTCAATAAAATTTAAGATTTTCTATTATAATCTTACTTTTCAATTTGATACTTTCAGTTAGTCGTGATGATTGGTATTCGAAAGAGCTTGGATTGGATCTTTACTCAACGAGAACTCAAGATCTTGGATGATACCTTACCAGAGTTTAGCCGTAAGAAGAGGATGGAGATAGAAGTTGAAGCCGACGACGATGATGATGATGTAGAAACCAGAATGCCAAAGGAAACTACTGTAAGATAAAGAATATATAATATCTATTCATGATGTGAGAAATTTATATACTTATTGAATGATTTATTAATTGATTAATTAATTGATTGTATAGGTATAAAGGTCAGAGCCAATAACCAACCAGTTTTACTAACTATGGAAACTGCTTGGTACCCCCTAATTCATTTTGTACATCTTCCTTCATCTGTATGACAGAATGGCCTAGCTCCCTAGTGTCATGTAGATGAGTGTGGCAGGAGTCCCTTTGGCAATCAATGGCAGTTGGTTATCTAGTGCTGATCCTTATACATGCTCCTGAAGCAGTAGTAGTGTGTGGGACTTCACACCTCAATTCAAATTTATATATTAACTTTGGCAACATTGTGATTATCCTTTTTATTATATCTTAAGGTTACTGTATTATGTTTATAAAGACCAGACAGTTAACTTTTAGATTACAAACTTCATTTTAGTATCAGATGAAATGAATCATTAATATTTTAAAACTTCATAGGGTTACATTACTTTGAACTTTATTTCCTTAGATACACACTAGTGAAGGAATGATGACCATCCCATTAGCTAATGGAAATGTGATGAAAGTTCCAATGAATCCAATCAACATCTCAGAGGAGGTGAACAAGAGTGGAGTGTGGATGGACATAAACAAAGACCAGGAGAAGAAGGCCCCAACATCCCCAACTAAGAACAAGTAAGAGAAGCTTCTATTCCACAGGTCTTCCTGCTTTCAGTTCGGAGCTAACAGGTTTATTTTGGGTTCGAGTTATTTGAAGTGTGGTATTATCCAGACATCTGAAATACCATTTGCTTAAACGTTTAATAATTCTGGTGTTCAAAATTCATTAAATATAATCTCGGTTGGATTACATTTCAATGCTTGACTTGACATTTGCTGTGATAAATTTAAAGTTTCCTAGTGCGAAACCTCATATTATTTATTAATTCTTTATTAATGGTATTACATTTGTCATTTTGTGAATTGGAATGCTAATTTGGGTTTTTATATAGTTATGGAAGATCCTGTATATTTTATTTTTTTTCTTAATGCATTTTCATAGACTGATTTTCGTTTATTAGTTTTGCTTCATATTTCTTGTAATGGCAAATTAATTCAATAGTTATCAGTAAAGTTACTGGATAATTCTAATGCAGATTTGTTACTTATACAACTACAGAAAATATATATATATATATATATATATATATATATATATATATATATATATATATATATATATATATATATATATATATATATATATATATATATATATAAAATAAAAATATAAAGTGTGAATCTTCATGAAAACCAAATTATTTTAATATTAATAAGAATTAATATTAATAAGAAATACAGCATTGTTATTTTTACATATTGAACATGAAGTGACTCCTATGTAGTTATACAAAAATGATACAGGGGTTTTGGTGATATATATATATATGAAGACAAAGAGGAAGCTCCTTTTTGTTGACCAAACCACACTAGAAAGTGTAGAGACGACGATGTTTCGGTCCGTCCTGGACCATTATCAAGTCGATTGTGATAATGGTATATAATGGTGATAATGATGATAGTCACAATTGACTTGATTGTGACCATTATTGTGATCTCTTCACTTTCTAGTGTGTGGTTTGGTCAACATTTTTCAGCCACGTTATTGTCACTCCTCAACTGCAAGCTCCTTTTTGTTGGTATGGAAGGTGGAAATACAGCAGAGTACTTTCTCGGCTCCCTGCTACTATATGAAATATATAAAATCAATAATACAGTGATCACGATTATCCAGATCAACAGGGCTGGATGTCTCGATAACAATAATTCAAATAATTGAGTACAAGATCACAAAATGTGCTTTTTACTATTTGTGTTATTTTGGTTTTTATTTTAAGATACATGTGCTAAAATAAAAATACCTGTAATGGTGTTTTAATAGATAAACTCCAATGTATATGTAGGAAACTAGCAACATTTGTGTTGTTTTATATAAATAAGTGTCCTCCAATGCCAAATTATGCCAGAAAGTCACGGATAATGAGGATTAACTCCCATAATTGGCCAAGTTGCAGCTAATGGAGTTAGAGAACCTGAAATTTTTTGTCCAAATATAGTCTAGGATTTAGGACCAGCACCTTCGTCACCCCTAGAAAATATAACTGCATGAGATATAAGGAAAATAAATCGGGAACAAAGAATCTTGAAGTAGTAAAATATTTCAAGAACACTTTAATGGGATAATGAAGAGAGAAATACAGTATGTGATATCAGGCAATGAATAATATTTGTTATTGCAATTCAAGATGCTTCTGTGTGAAATTCAAATTTAAAGGTGTAAATGTGGAGGTTGAGGTTACATATGCACTGTGTGATAACATAAGGTAGAATGAAAATGAGGTCTTTAAGGGGCAGCTTAGAGAATGATATCAGCACTAAACTTAGGAGTTACATAATATATATAATAGGCAATATAAATTGTAAGGTAGGAATAGGCCCTGAGAATTACATAATAGGTGGAAAGGGTGTTCCAGTAATAATGATATTGGCTGCTGAGTTAAGTAATTTTTTAAGTGAAAGAGAATGATCTATTACCAATACAGCACATATTTTAAGCAAAGATAAGCCTAAACATATACTGCATCCTCAAAAAACCAAACCTTCTTATAACAAATACAAACAACATACATATTTTCCTATCAGATGGCTGCACAACACCCTATAATTTTTGTTATATAAAAGTTTTACTGAACTTATACCGTAGCCTAAAGAATACAATAATACTACAGGGGTATTAATATTTGCGACTTATACCCTCAGTGGCTTCTGAGAGGTTATGTACAGGTACCTCTAGATTAGTTCCATCATACCAGGTGTCTATGAACATGTTATGGCTGACTGGGAGCAGGGACCAGAACCCTGCCACCTCGCCAGAGGTGGAAGTTATGCGAGTAATACAACTTTACATGTTTGACGGAAAATCTTTAGGAATAGCTGAATCTAGGCCACAAAAACTAACTGATAAAGAAATGTTGATACTTTTCTTGAAACTCAATCACAAATACAGAAAATATCACCTTGCCACTTCCCTCTCCTACCACTAGATGGCAGCACTAATCAAACACCACAATCACTCTTGCTCTGGTACTCCTACTGAAACACTGCTCCACCTAAGACCTCTTTATTGTGTTTTAATGTGTGTGTGTAGTTAAGTGACTGGCCTTTTTGCTTCTTCTATGGTCTTATGTTGGGTGTCATGCTTATAACAGTCTTAGCAAGCATATGTGTCAGTTACCATGTGTGCCTCATGGTTTTTAACCTGTTTCAGCTGTGAATTCAGGATTATCTTTGTATGCTGCTAGCAAATATCACCTACTACCATATGATTATGCTTAGGATGGACTCCTTTCAGGTCCTTCCCTATCTCAGGTGGTGCCTTGGGACTTGGTTGCTCGGTGAGACCTGTAAATGGGAGTAACATAGTTACTCCCGTTATAAAGTAGTTTTTAGTATGATATTTGGTTCAGCTCAATCTAGTACAATAGTGTGGTTATGGCTGAAGTTTGAAATAAAGACTTGAGGTAGAATCTTTTCCTGGGTAGGTAGGTAAGGTGTGGTGTGGTCCACCTGAAGATGTGTGTGTAACATGCTTAGGAGCTTGTAGTGATACATTATGTGATAATTGGATTCATAAGATGGTCTCTGTTGTGGTGTGCATCCTCACTGTAAAAAGGCAATAAATTGACTATAAACATTAGGTTATATAATTTAGGCATCATCAGTATTTTTGCAGGACACATGTTATGTATATTTGTTGGTAATGGGTTAGCCAAGACACACCTTGTACAGTTCTGCAGGTATAATACTTGATGACATTGATATGCCTACTTGGTCTGTTTGGCATGCCATCTCAGTCCTCCTTTGGTTAACACCTTCCTACAAGGCATTTGCTGGCACAGTGATGTCACATGTAACAATTTTGGAGTTCTCAGATACATTGGAAGAACTAGGGAAGGTATTTTGTTTTGTTTGAGTTTTGAGAGTTCCTCTATTTTATAATCCAGGCCTGGGACCAGACTTGTTTGCTGATAACTTTCTCCATCTGCAGGCTTACATATCTACTACATCCTGGTTGATCCAACATTTTTTTGCAAACATTTGTTCAATTGCCTTTTGAACACCTCCATTTGCATTCCAGGAATATTTTAAGAATTACTGGAAGGAGGTTGAAAAGCTGTGGGCCTCTTGACGTTCAAACAGTGTTCTCAGATTGTCTCTGGCACCTCTGCTCTTCACTGGATCTTTTCTAGGCTTCTTACTTTGGCACTTGGATTGATGGCTAGCCAATTATTAGCAAAACCCTTCACTGCCCTTGTCAATGACCCAAATAATGATATTTCTTGAGGTTTCAAATATTGTGTGGAATTTGTTGTTAAACCATACCTTATTTCCACTCGTCGTTTTCCTTTGCCAAATGGTAATTGACATATTAGGGAAATATTGTCATAATACTGTATATATATTACTAATTTAGTGAAGTTTCCAACTAGCTATTGATTAAATGTTTTGAGGAGATACTTAAACAGCACATTGATGCTGTGATGCATAATCACAGCACGGTGATTATGCATCTGGTGTTGACCATCTCCAGGCGGCTGCAGTTCAGATGTGTTGACCTGCTCATCACACTTTTGTCCAACTTGCTATTCTGAGGAAGTAAAACCACAGGTGGGGTAATCTTTCCATCTGCAGTCACCATAGCTGGAAAAACACAGCATTAATGTGTATAGCTTAGGGGGTATTCTACATATTGCTACACACTATTTAGGCTACATATAGTATAAAAAAGAAATGTATTTATAGGCCTAACCATCCATACATTATTTGAAAACATATGCAAAAGTGGCAACTCTTACCTACTCATAGACCTACATCGCATATGTGGGGTATACAAATGGTAGGTATTGTGAAATTATGGCTATTGCTGTTTTTTTCATAAATACGTGTAAAAATATTATGATTAATTCCCCAAAAAACACAGAAGCTAAGAGACCTGTGGCAGATCAGTGATCGTTGGGTAGGCAGTGCTTAGTGTCCAGACGTGGCCAGTGGCATGTTGAGTGGCATACATCTCTTTGGAACCAGTGAGCTTTAAGGCCTGACATTTACTTTATATGTAAGGTAGCAAGCATTTCACTATGATTTGCTGTGTGTCTTGTAGATGATTTAGCGAATGTTTACTTTGCCATCCAAATACAAGCAATAGGGCATTTCCGGCACTATCAAGTGTTTTAAGACTTCGTTCTGTAATAGAAAATTACTCCAGTGATTCCATTACATCAAATATCATCATAAATATAAGTAATAATCATCCTAACCAAGAAATTTTATTTTTTAACACTTTCACGTTCTGATAACGCTGAAATGTGTCGTCTGCACTTCGTCAGTAAATATTCCCATAAAGCTAAAATGTATCATTCAATTGCTATTCTTAAAAATTTGTATATTCATTACCATTGTGCATAATCTATTAGAGATACTTTTATTTTTGCATCTTTTCTATAGAAAATTCATATTGTGAACATTTTGACACCAAATTTATAGTTATAACCCAACAAATACACTAACTACACTAATGTTACTGCTCTCTTCATATACAGTACAGTATAGTATTAATCATTATACCATTCAAGATG